TTGCCCCAAACTAAGCCTCAGATCAATTAGAAGACTGAAGCAGCTCAGGACAAACTTGACGGACTGCCATGGTGGCCAAAAATGCTGCTTTCAAGTTCAGTTACGTCATGTGACTTACTGAAAGGAAACAAACTTGCTTTACTTGCAGACTGCGGTGTCAGTGAGGCCAAAAACATTAACAGTCACTTGCAGACCATTAGCAGCTGATTGGGCTGCTAGGAAAGAAGAGACCTCTGAATTGAAGGACGTCAGTGTTTAAATCCTGGCTGCTCATTTCACACACTGATCCAGTTGTGCTTTACTGGAATCAACTGATGGTTGCTCCAGGATTAGACCTGATGTGGCTATTTTACTCTTAAAAAGGGTGTCAGGGTCACTCCTGCTGTATTCAGCCAGTATAACACATTTCTGACAGTTCTGACAAGGCAGGGGATGACTTAAATAGCTTCAACTTTAGTGGAAAATTATGGAATAAAGGCACATGTAATGAAAGTGAGTAGTACACTGACTTGAAGTGGAAAAACTAAGACATACTCACCTATTTTTTCTTTCTTCTATGTTTGGTAAATGGATGAATGTTTTCTGGATGAAAGAAAATATGAAGGGGTAGCTATTTATAGGTTATCATGCCATGGTTCTACTGGTCCAGCCTGCTTGAGATCAAAGTGGGTGTGGCCCCAACACCCTGCTCTAAGCCTTCAAATGTGCATGAACATAAAAAGTGCAAGGGCATCTAGAGGGCCAGATTGGGCCGGTTCTGGCCTCCTGGCTAACGGGGGGGGGGGGGGGGGGGGGGGGGGGGGGGGGGGGGGGGGGGGGGGGGGGGGGGGGGGGGGGGGGGGGGGGGGGGGGGGGGGGGTTGTCTGATGCCGAGAACCACTGACTAAGCGCTGGTAGGCTATTTGAGGAGTTGGCAGTGAAGCCAGGTTGTGTTGAGGGAAAGTGCTGATTTTCAACCAGCTCTATGTCATCACAGAGTGGGCAAAACATGATCGGCTGGCCATTACTTAAGAATCCTTGTGCAGTCATGTCACCTAGCTAATGCTAAATCACTGTGCGACACCTGTCCATAACAGCGAGGTGAACTAGTTAGCTAGCTAACAGTTATGCCATATGCTATTGAAACATATTGGCCAGTTAGCTGTACTGTTGACATTCATGTGAGCCTCAATGGATCGTTTTGTAACTTCTCGAGCAAGAGACTCTAAAATACCGTCCACCTCAGAAACAAACTGTATAAATGTATGAATCTGCCTATAATTACTTTATTAGCTTAGTATTTTATGCACCATAAAAGGGTTTGTTTAGAAATGACACTTTAGGCCACGCTACACATCATTGACAAACCAGTTTACTATGCAACTCCATTTCATACAATATATGTGTTAGGGGTCCCTGCTCTGTCTGTTTTAGCTAAGAGGTCTGTAGCCTGAAAAACACAGAAGACCCCCTGTTCTTGGTTATGTCATCATATTTTATGACGGATTCAGATTAGAGTTTAGGAAAAATCTATTACATTGAAATATTCCTGGCTTTTGTAGAACAGTTCATGGAAACAGGAATCAAAGGGAATGTTTAAGGTATAAAATGGGAACACAAACATCATTAGAAGGCAAAATAGTTACTGACAGTACACAAAAAATCAAATGGGGACCAAAATATTTGTTCAGAGGGGGTGGAAAAGAAAATTCCAAATATGAGATTTTAGAGACTTTGTATTTTATTGTAGCTACTTAAATGAATCGTTCAACATTTTGGGAAGTATGCTTATTGAACTCTCAGCAAGAAAGCCAGTGAGCATATTTCCCCAAATGACTAAGACAATATTTCAGAGTGGAAGCAAGATACAACAGAGCTTAGAGACATCCAACTGGGTGCTGTACAGCAGAGCAGATCGACCAGCCGGCTGACATCTGGTGAAAGTGTCTTGGCAGCCCATGAGGAGGAGCCGCACACCCACCCACACTGACCTTAACACTTCTCAACATGACATTCAGTTGGGAACGCTTAAAGGTGTTTCAGTAGAAAGCACTGGTGATGATACAGCAAGCAGAGAAAGGAAAACAGACTGAAGGATAAAACATAACCTTCAATGTTAGATTTCAAAAGCACAAGGGCATCGGGGAGACTTTTTTTCTTTCTGGAAGGATTTTCAAAGATTGACTTTTTTATTCTGTCTGTTAGCCTTCGCTCATTTCAGTAAGGAATAACAACGTAAAGCCGAGAGATTGGACTACCTTTGTCAAAGCTTTTGTAAGGAACAGGATGTGTTGCTTTGACACACATTTCTTATGACAACTCGATGTAAAAAATCTCACCCTTTCCCCTACTGATACATTCATGTTAAAATAGGATAACACAAGCAGAAGTCTTTGGAGACATAAAAAGAAGGCATACAGTGTGAGAAAATGAAGCACTTGCAGTTTCCTCACTGAAATTATGAACTGCGTGGGAAAGGCATTAATTAATTAGCAGAAATCATAGCAAGAATAAACCAAGGCATTCATTAAGGATTGTGTATCAGATTAAGGGTCAAAAAGAGATGACAAATAAAATCATATGAAATTTTAAAAAGAAAATGCAGGATAGCTTAAATAAGGATTCTGAAAATAAAAAGGTACATGGAAATCCAGATTTACACCTGTACATTTACTTGCTAACAATGCTAAAAGTCTCTTTCTGTTCCTCGTCAGTGTTTAATTGCCAATAATTTATTATATTATAGCAAATTCAGCCAAATATATAGGTAGATGTGGCTGACAAAAACAAAAAACAGATGAATATATTTGGTCCAGCACTAATCGTGTAAGAATATTTAGTTTGAATGAGAATCTACTGGTAGATTACTGGTGTTTTCAGTCAAGAACTCAAATCGCCTGCCAACACACATGGTTTTTGATATTCTTTGAAAACTCCTTTATAAAGAATTTTACTCCCTCTGATTTTTCTTGGCTTTAAAAAAAACATCAATAACTGACTTGAGATCTTGAGTGAAAACATGAATGTAACAGTAACATGGCAAGTTAAATCTTTAGGGTCCTCACACACCAAGCAGATGGACAACTGTCGGTCAATGTCTGGCTATCAGTGTGCGTCTTTTGTCCTAGTTTTTGGGTGCCACCAGTCGGCCCTCACTACCTGGTTTTTGGCTAATTCAGCATATTAAATCAGTCGGAGCTTGTCAGTGAAGGAAATCACTCTGATTGGCAGGTCAGTTCAGTGCAGTAGTAGAGAATCGAAAGTGAGGAAAGTAAACAAACGACTAAAGTCATGAGGACGAGAGATAAAAAAAAAAAAAAAGACTTGTTATATTAGGTAAGATTTTTTTTTAGCCATTGAGCTCTTCATATCTGTTATCCATTATTTTTTTCAACACTGGATCGTATTGTTAATGTGCTAACTGGCTAACTAGCATCTTAAATCTCTCCTGCCAGTCTTCTGATTTCCCTTTTTGAATGACGAATACAGACTACCACCGCCTGCTGTTGTGGAAAGTTGTTTCTTCTCACACAGGCACAGAACGTACATGCTGGTTGGCTGTCAACCGGAGTCTTTGTGGTGTGTTCAAGTGCCTAGTCCTTTGATGTCAGTTTGGTGGGTCTGGGCCTTTAAGCATTTCTGCAACAGCCCAAACAGTGATGTCCCAACAGGTGTTTTGCCACCTGCTGTGAACCTCTGACTCATTACTATAACAGTAATTATGTATCCAATGTGATAAAGTTTGAATATACTTACTAATTACCCGTGTCATTTTATGAGTCTTGTTTGTAAAACAGAACATTATAACCTTTATGGAGGAAGGATTTTATTGCAGGACTGTTGCATTAGGCCCCGATCAGACAGAGCGCTTTTTGTAGGTTGCTGCGTCTATTGTTATTTTTTAGATTTAACTGCTTTTTTTGCTGTGAATCAAACTCATAGCTCTATACTCTCTAATTTAAGGGAAATGGACCGTGTGTATATGAGACCCCCAGAAAGAGGAGAAATCACAAGGAGTACCACCAGCTGGTCTAGGAGCTTTGCCTGGATGATGGTCAGTTCAAGGCTTATTTCAGGATGAGTCAGGGACAGTGTGACAATCTGCTATCAATCATGAGGCCTAATTACAGTTGGTAAAAAGTAACTGAGGTGACAACTTGTTCATATATATTTTGCAGCTCGTCAAAGGTGATGATGAAAGTGAGCATTAACACAAACCATGTATGCTACCACTCGTTGTCATTGCCATCACAGAAGGTCCTCCCCCTCTTGGACAATGAAAAAAATGACAATGATATTGGGCACTTTTCCCACTCTGAGCTAAAGTTTTTTCAACACGAGGCGTTCAGGGAGCTCAGCAATGCAAATGCAGCGAGCAAAACACTTCACTCTCATTGAAAACCATTGCAAAAAATCACTAAAACTAAACACTCTGTGTGATCAGGGCCTTAGACTGAATTGCTTTAACCTACATGTACCTAATAAATTAGCAACTGAGTGTATGTCTTTCCAATTTACTTGCATTTACACCATCTAAAACCACCCTGCATAACCCAGTCTCACTCCGAAGTCGTCGATATCTGAAATCTGGCGCTTGGGCAGTGACTTGCGGCGTCAGAAACTGACAAAAAAGCCGTCCTTTAACAACAGCATGATACGCGGCTGGTTGCTGTTATAGTTTAATGGCACTCAGCAGCTTCTGGGGGAAACTCAGCGGGGCAAGAACGAAAGTTAAGGCAGCGAAAGTCCAAGTAGGGCAGGTAGGAGTGGTGGTGAATGGGTCCAACAAACCAAACCCAAGCCAAACCCTGTTTTTTTCCCTAAACCCAACCATGTGAGTTAGTTGTTGGAGGGGAAAAAAAACGTCAATTTGGATTGTTGCAGAAGAGACTGTATGTAAACGGTAAATTTCCTGGGAAACGGAAGTGTATTTTAAAGAAGACAATGCATGTAAACAGGCAGAACTTGGCACGGCATCCCAGAACGTCAACAACCAACACACCCAGGGTAACTTGCACGTCCTACCTCGATGTGGAAAGTCCATGACCAAACGTCGATTTGTGACAAGGTCGGAGTGAGAATGTGTTGCCCTGCAAGGTTTCATTTACAGTTGGCCTCTTATGGTATCACGTAGCTACCCGATCCACCCAAAACACATGTAGTTTCTTTGTGTAATTTGGATCTTTGAACTGCAGAAAATTCCAGAGTAACTTCGCTGAACACATCAACCTGTAGCATTGGAGTGTATTAAAAGAAAATTAAGGATTGAGGAGATATTACACTTGCACACACACATAAAAAAAGGCATATAAACCACTTGCTCAGAGCAAATTTCACCTTGTAGTTTCTCCATATCTGTGTTGGGTTGAGTTAATATCTGCCAGTTTGACTTTCTTTGCATGATTATATTGTCCGTGCATTGTGGATAATGTGGTTCTTTTGTGGAGTCTGTGGTCTGGTCCCTCTCTGTTGCTTTCAAGAAATAAATTATCTCCACTGTGTTAATCTGCACCCTTCGGAAGTCCAAAATGAGGCTCCATTGTTGAGGTGGACTTGGCTGTTAAGGTGCTTTCTAGCTCCAACACTCCTATTAGTCCACCTTAACAAGTCCCCAGTTAAAGGCAGATAGTTAGGAGTTGTTACGCTAGTCCAAGTCCACCTCGTTCAGTTCAGCTGTACACGTTGTCTCTTCCTGCTTAAGGAGTCCGTTAGGAACTGGATGGATGACGATGTTTTATTATAGTGCGGTATTTAGCAGAATGATAGTGGATATAACCATGTAGTCAATGTCATTGAGCTCACTGGAGGCCTAAATTGCTTCAAAGAGAAATAAATAATGATATAATGTGGTGTCTGGCAACAAAATCTCTGCTCCAGGAAGGAAATCTGTCTTTCCTTGATAAATTTAGGACCTCCAGAACTCCTCCATTGACCTCTGGTGGTGGAATGTGGAGAAAAATGTCAGCACAAAAGAAACACGACTCTTGTTAACGAGGGACGTTAAATCTAAGGGTGCCAACTAAACTTTTTTCAAATGATATGTGCTTGGAGGATGTTGGATATCAACATAAAAGTGATCATTTCATATGTGATCATGTAATTGCATATTGGAGGAGAGGAGAAGGTTAGAAGTAGTGGGAGGCGAGATGATGGGAGAAAGAAAGATTAGTCCAGAGTGTCATATTTTGGCGGAGAACCAAAATGGATCCTCTTTCTAAGGCCTTTCTAAGACTTTCAGGGAGGGATTTTTTCAAAAAACACAAAACCAAGGAACTGAATCATGGAAGCCCTCGCAATTGAATGAGCATGTGCGATCCTTCCTCTCTGAGAAATTAAACAGAAATGGGCACAACCCTTTGGCTCTCCACCCACATTCAAGGTGTTCTTCTCCGCCTTCTACCTTCGTGGATCGTCCTCAAACATTTCCCTCTGTATCCAGTCTGAACAAAGAACAACAGAGGGCTACCAACAGTCTCAGTCACACAGCTGACACCTCAGTCCGTCAGCCACTCCACTCTCTGAATCCTTCCTGGATCCCTCCCCTTTTCACCTTCAGTCCCAAAAATGTTCCCAGATCAACATAGACAGCGGCGGTCACTCTTGGTCACTTCCTCCGAGGAGTGCACCACATTGGGGACAAACCCACTCTTCACACCCTCCCAGCCCTCCTGGATCGTGATATCGCCGGACCGCACCAGGGCAAAGATGTCTCTGGTCAGCTCGGTGAAGGCGTGCTCCACGTTGATGGCGTCACGGGCCGACGTCTCAACATAGCGCATCCCGTACGCCCCCGCCAGCTTCTCTGCCTCCTGGCGGGTCACCTGGAAGATCAAAATGAAATGAGGTGAAAGTCTTCCTTTATGTAATGAGTCCTTATACCTGGAAATGAGTTAGCAGTATAGCACTCCCACTTCCCTCGTCTCGAAGTCAATGGGTTTTAGATGCCTGAAATACGGTCTGTGGTAACACAAGCTTCAGACACTTTAAAGTTTTGTTTCATAACGTATAATATGTCAGTAAATACCCCACTCGTGAATTCTGAAGCTTTTATGTATCTTTAAAAAGCGCAGTTGCTGACAAGGGGCTAAATGAGACTACAGAGCCTCATCACTCTGAGCACAGCTTTATAGCTTCATTGTGGTGGCAAGGTTGAAGTCATGCGATCGTGGTATAGTTTGTTTATAGCCTTACATTAGCTTCTTACCTCTGGTGTTCATTTATGAAGGTTATCTTGCTGAACAAAAAGTGTAAGTATCATAAAAAACTGTTTCCCACAGAGCTTATTTTCTGCAATAATCCAAAATACTATGGAAAAACCCCACAGGCTTTTCGTCGAAGGAACCAGGGCAATGCTAACTTCCGTGTTGGCCTAGAAATACCGTTAAACGCCATCCTTGCATCCCTGTTTCAAAAGAATCATCAACATGTGGTGGATATATGTGCTATTACTCACAATGTCAGACTGTGTTTAACTGATTTTAGCTCTTCCTGCTAGTGACGTAGCCAACTAACAAACAAAAACCAGTTGTTCAGTCTTCTTAAGTCTACAGCTCACGTTTTGGAGATCAGACTAGAACTTAAGACAAGACTAAATAAGTCCTTGAAAAACCTGTTGTTGGTATATTTAACCAGATCTCAGAGATGGAGTCACATGTGGTTGCTTGGATTTTCCTCCGACGAAGACCAGTTTTGGGCTGGAACATCGCACAAAAAGAGTTTTCTGATTCCTGTGTGCAGGTGCCTTTTTATTGTATTATCCCTCATCTTTGTATCCAGTACTTAACCCACTGAGGTTTTGTGGATGACAACTCTTTCCAGCAGCTAGGAGATGTATGCTATGGTCCCTTAAAGTTGACCTTGGGGATAAAATGGAGTTAGCAGGTAACAGAGTCGACCTACTGTAAAATAAATCATGCCAGAGGCTATTTGCCCAAGCAGTGTCCTTTGAGGTAGGATCCTGTAGTAGAGAGGATACGTTTATATAAAATATTGGCCTTTTTTTATTCCAAAGTGCAAGAAGCACAGAAAATGTATTTTGGTCCTTCAAACACTGAATTCAGTAATGCATTGTATGTTTGTGTGATCACACTGCTTTCAAAGTTGCTAGACACTTAGAGGGATTATGAGACAATGGGCCTCTGGGCACAGACTTGCGGAAGGCTCCACCGCTTCTCCAGCAAAGGAGCAAGACACACAGACTTCAGGTTGTTTAGTGTCTTTTTGTTGCTGTTTTCCATCTCTTTGTAGTCGATGCACATCTCTGTGGTTTTGTGTCTCTTTGTAATCATTTTGCATCTTTTTGTTGCTGTATTATGTCTCTTAGTAGCCATTTTGAGTCTCTCTGAAGTTACTTTGCATCTCTCTGAAGTCATGTTGAGTCTCTTTGTGGTTGCTTCGCATTTTGTTGTAGTCCATTTGTGTTTCTTTACAGTCAATTTGAGTGTCTTCAAAGTTGTTTTGCGTCTCTTCACAGTTGCTTTGGGATTCTTTGTAGTCATTTTGTGTCATAATAATTGTGAGTTTCTTTGTGTCTCTTTGCAGCTGTTTTGCATCTTCGTCTTGTGTCTTTGTTGTCATTTTGAGTCTCTTTGTAGTTGCCTTGCCTCTCCATGTAATTGATTTGTGTGTCTTTGTAGTTTATTTGCATCTCTTTGAAGTCACATTGAGTGTCTTCGCAGTTGCTGGCATTTTTTTTAAATCATGTCAAGTCCATTAGTGGTTGCTATACATTACTTTGTAGACCGTTTGTGTCTCTATGTAGTTTATTGGGTCTCTTTGTGTTTGTAGTTGCTCTATGTCTTTCTTAAGTCATGTTAAGTCTCTTTGTGGTTGCTTTGTGTTTTGTTGTAGTCTATTTGTGTGTCTTTATGGTAACGTTGAGTCTCTTCGTAGTTTCTTTGTATCTCTTTGTAGTCATCTTGTGTCTCTTTGTGGTCATTTTGAGTCTCTTTCTGGTCTGTACGTGTCTCTTTGAGTGACATTTTGCAGTTGAAGGCCAGGGGGCACTGACAATACGGGCCCTGGGGCCTGTGCCTGGTAGGCCCATCCGTGGCTAGCTAGTATAGGAGTCTTTAAAATCAATTTGCAACTTAATGAGAATGAACAAAAATTCCAAATCATCTGCTCTGAGTAGCACTCACAACTCTAAAATGTGTAATGACATGTTATGAGATGTGATAAGTGGCGAGTAAATGAGCTTTCTAGTTCAGCATTAATGGATGACATCAAAAAGATCAAGATCAAAGCTCCTGAGACGGGAAATCTTACATAATTTTCTGGTTCATCTGATTATAATCCTGCTCCTACAACATTGTATCTTATGAGTGTAGACACACACTGGTGTGCAGTCTTTTGCAGTGTCATCCTGTAAAGTCTATATTTCAGTAGTGATATTTTTGCCTCCTGTCTGCAAGCTGCCCCAAGACAATTGAACAAACAGCGCCGACTTGCCTCTGATCCAAATGTGTGCTGATCTAAATTTGAGCACAAAGTTATTTTTAACACTGCAGACTCTAATTAAGTTGCATATTACATAACATTCAAAACAGCCACTATCCCCAGCAACACATTTCAACCCAACAAAGCCTTGTTCACTGTTGTGTTCACTTTTATACTTTACACACCTGGCGCTTTGACTCCAGGTCACACTTGTGGCCCACCAATAGGAAGACGATGCTGTGGGGCTGGACGTGGCTGCGAGCCTCCTCCAGCCAATCGTGGACGTTCTGGAAGGAGCGGCGGTTGGTGATGTCGAACAGGAGGAGCCCACCCACTGAGTTACGGTAGTAAGCCCTGGTGATGGACCTGCAGAGGTTGCAAAAATTGACATGAAGGTCAGATGCAATAAGCTATCCATTCTCACATGGCACATTGGCCTATGCAGTTTACAGTGTTAAAAATGTACCTCTTAAGATTCTCTGTAATTAAAACAACAAGTCCTTGATTTCAGACACAGGTAGACAAAATCAGGCTTCTCATTTTTTAAACAGCAGTCATCAGTTTCACAGGCTGGTATTACAACTGTTGCTAGCAGATTTTATTAGCTGTAGCTAGCTAGCTTGTGAATCAAGCTAATGTTAGCTCCGTGAGATAGTTAAAAATGTTGTTTCCATCAGACTTTTTAAAGTTTCTAGCTGACCAGTTTTAAAACATACATTTTTTAAAAGAGGGTATTGATGGTTGCTTTATGTCATGCTAAAAATACTGAAGCTAAAGCTACTAGCATCCTTGATGATATAGGTAAAACCATTTACCATACCATAATTTTTTTACCATTTACTGCTCTTGTCTGGTATGCAAGCTGCTTTGCACCGTTTGAATTGATTGCATTTACATCTTTACACTACTTGCGTTTATTTATTTTTATTTTTGTATTACCTCTTATATTCTCTTTGACTTCCTTATTTATTGCTGTCCTTTTGCACTGTCTGCACCGTGGGTCAATTCAGAGTGAAATGTTGTTTCGATTCTCTGTTTGTCTGTTACATAACTGTAGAACTGACAATAAAGCCTCTTGAATCTTGAAACTAATTTCCACTTTTGCCCACTATGTAAAATTGGCTTTAAAGTCCAGTGCTCTTCCTGGGGGCTTGGCATCTGCTGCATGTTTTGGCCACTTCAGCTTGTTGAATCAGTGTCGGAAACATCGGAACTCTTTGCTGAATGAAATCGCTCTGATTGGCAAACCAGCTCAGCGCACGAGAAGAGAAACAGAAGTGAGGAAAGTAAACAAAAAGCTAAAGTCAAGAGGGCGTGAGATTAAAACAAACTTGTTACATGAGGTAAGTTTTTTTTAAGCCATTGAGCTCTTCGGCAGAAACGGTTCGTAATTGTTCACTAGCACAAGGTAAATATCCTGTGTTCTTTCAAATATGGTTGTGTTGTTAATGTGCTAACTGGCTAACAATTGGTTGTCGGTCGTCCAGTTTCCATTTTTTAATGACAAATACAGACTGCTGCTGCCTGTTGGTATAAAAAGATATTTCCTCTGACGCAGGTGCAGAACGTACATGCTAGTTGGCTGTAGTCTTCACGGTGTATTCAAGTGTAACTTTTTGGCTACCACACAAGCGAGGTGAAGCAACACAACAGTCGGCCTTCGTCGCCACTAGTTCTTTGATATAGGTTTAGAGTGTCTGGGCCTTAAACTTCAGGACAGACCTTCTCATGCTATACGCTCTGAGCATATAGCATCCAGGACCAGCTTCCACACAGTGGGCATATGCCACACATTGCATATTTTATTATTAGTGTTGTTTTCTTAGCTTAACTCTTTAATTTTTGGTTATGGAAAAGCAAAAACATTCACCTCTGTTCAGGACAGAGAGCCGCGTTCACTGAAAGGGATAATAAGACATGATAGATCCAGGGGGAAGCTAATCAGAGTGAGAAACAGATGACGGGAAGTGTGAATGAAAGAAAGAAAAGAAGCAGAAGTGATGGAGGTGTCGGGTGGAGGAGCCGAGAAGTTGGAAACAAAATTAGATGAGGAAAAAATGTTGTAGACAGCTGAGTGTGAAGGATTACACCTTAAATGATATAATGTGGATCATTTTGCTAAATATTGTGACCAGTTTTATTTGTTTTGATGATTTAAATAGCAAAAAATAAATGGATTTAAGGCAGGAATAAGGTAAATGAACAGGGAATACCATAAATAACTGTGCTAACTATGATACAACCATATCAATATCAACCTTTAAAAGTTTAAACCAGGACTGTGGCGTCTGATTTTCCAAAACAAACACTGCAGCCTCGTCTGGGAAGAGAACTGCTGCTAGATTTTGACAAGATGTGACACCCTGCATGCACACAAACACACACCAACCCCCCCTTATGATGCGTCTATCTACCCAGAGTGTCCTCACAGAGTGAACGTCAACATAAATATAACGAGGAGGGAAAATTACAGACTCGAGGTAGAGACGGAAAGAGAGACGTGTCATGAAAGAGGAAGAGGGGAGGATTAGTCAAAAGAGAAGATACAGTAAAAGAGGAGGAGTAGGAGGCAGAAATTCAGAACCAGCTAGTGATTCATTTGCTTCGCCACACACATACAGATATAGTATATTTATATATTTATGGAAGAAAGGACCACACAGATGAAACAACAGTGACTAAGATGAGATCTGAGGTGGATTCGTAGGCGCAGGAGAAAGACAAAAAAAGTCAACTACTGTGTCGCAAAATCCCAAAATAAGTAGATATGTCAGTGGATCTTAAATATTTTCCCCAAAATGGCTGCAGTGCATGAGTCAGAATGGTAACTTTAGTGGACTCGTGAAATGATATTGTCTGAGAGCTTTAAACCTGCCACTCAATTAATACCACATTCAAGATATAGGGACACAGGACAGGCGACTTACAGCAAATTAAGGTTAATATCCTTGTGTTTTCCATTATAAGCCTGCCTGATACCAGAATTATCAACTCATTGCAATCTGTTCCCATCTTCACTCTCATATTGTGTCCACTCTAACTGATTTCTGTGAGGGAAGGGGATTCAGTTTTTCCTAACCGGTCAATAGCGACCAACATATTTGCCGGATCTTAGATAATTTTAAGTCCACACTGATGCGTAGCCATGGCAATACACCTGTTTTGCCGGGGGTTTAAGGGTAGAGCAAAGTTAAGAAAGGGGCCGTATACATGCCACGTCTTTAACCACCTGGAAAAAGTAAGGTCGGGAACTGGGCACTATTCTTGTGCCTATTTTGAGCCAGCCTTCCAGAGCTCGGCAGCAGATTGTGTCTGAGGTTGCTAAGCAACCTTAATAAGCATCATATCATAGGCTATGTACCTGAAATCCTGAGTGCAGAGCTGATCTTCTTCCAGGAGCTGTTTATAAGTGTGTAGGCCTATTGTCCATGGGACAGATGTAAAGCTCTGGGTAGCCCTGCACTAACATGATCAACTTTTCTGTATTATCAGACTGAATATTTACAGAAGAAGGGATCTGTCAGCTGCAATTGGTTGTTCCTTGGGGCGCGTCATGCCCTGAAAAACAGGCACTCAGGAACGAGTGCGCGCTGCAATGGCGTCACCCTGGTGTTTGAGTGAGGCTGCCGTGCATCTACATTGAAAACAATGAATTTCAGAGTGCAAAAAACACGGCATGTGTGTGGCCCCTTAAACAACCTACAATGCTGGGTGATACTGAGAAGACCTGTCGATTTAGAACAGCCTCAATAACTATGTTTCCATCCAAAAGTGATTCGAATCACTGGGAAATGCGCATTAAAAGAAATACGAATCCTGTGTTTCCATTAAATGTACGGACTTGGGTGAAAACTACGAACTCGCGCAAGTTTTCCGCAGAAACGGAAGCAAATAAGTCTCGCATTCTTCTTCTTCTACGTTTTCTGGTGGTTGGCATCCAGCTTGTAAATGCATTACCGCCTTCCTGACCCAGAGTGTGGATATCACCATGGAGAGAGGTCAGACTTAATTCGAACATAACTGTTTCCATCCCCCGTTTTGCGAATCAACATTTTTTCGAATCAACCAAAACCCGGCTAGAGCGAGCATATTTTAGTTTTCTGTGAATCAGGGGATTTTAATTCGAATTTTGGCGTTTCCAACATAATTTTCCGATGCGATACTTCTAGATGCGCATCTAAACAGGCTGATGGAAACATGCTAATGGCAGCATCTATCTTGCCCATAGCACTCGCCATTGTTGCTATAACTCCTCAATGGATCCGATGCACTGCTTAACAACAGCTTGACAACGCTGTTAAGTCTGATTTATGGTAAGGTACTCAACACTTTTGGTAAGTGCAACGTTTTCAGTTCATGCTTCAGCTAAAGGTTTTAAGTTGTCTAGATGGTAACCAAAGATCCCATGTTTTTTTTTACAGTCCGAGTCTATCTCTGTAAGTTTAGTGAAGTGTAATCTGCACACGTAGCTTTTTAAAATCACACAAATATCCCACTGTTTATGTGTGTTTAATTAACTATCCATATCTACATTGACTGATCTGCTCCCAGTCTGTCTGTGATTCCCATCACTTAAATTGTCAGTGAATCAGTAAGTACAATCAGTGTTGATTTCCTCCCGTGCCGTTCAGTAAATGTCTGCTGTCAGTCAGTCTGGTGAAGACAGTTTGGCCGGCCTCTGTCCTCTTAGCTTCCCAGGAGGACAGAGAAGCTGCATGCTGGTTGAAGTCAGTGTGGATTGAAAACTACTGTCTTTATGGCGGCATTAGTAAAATTACCAATCACACTGCCTGACAAAATACAAAGCTGTTAGCGACATAAAATCCTTAAGGTGTGCGACATCAAAGCAACACTCACACAAAGTGTTCAGCACCCCACTATAAATCAGGCTTCCATCCCACCTGCTGCAGTCATTGGATAGTTTATTTTTAAATGAGGAAAAGCTGTTTCATGTCACGATGCCAGACGTATCAGTCAGCTCAGTGGAGTGGGTTAATTCAAAGGTCTGGACCTAGGCAAATAACAGGAAATAGGTTGGCTTTATTCTGTATTTCTGTTATTGTCCACAGCTCTCAGAAGAAGATCCCCTGGTCTATACTTTATGGCTTGCCGAGCCTGTGTGAGGTTCAAAAATCTTTAAAAATAAGTCACAGATATATAGTTATAATGATTTTAAAAAGGCTAATGAACTTCCTGAAACAGCTGGGCACTGTGGTTTTTATCAAATGCTATTCAAACAAGAGTAAACAGTGCATTTCTTGGGGACTATTTTCAATGGCGGATTGACACACAATTCAAGCGCTAATTAGTATTTACAGCAGCAACATGTCACCCAGTGAGAAAACGTGGCTCATTGTCGTGTTTTGAATACTTGTTCTGAAGACAATGATGCTTTGTAGCACAGAGGAATATATCAAGTTCAATAGCAAGATCGATTAGTTATTGGTTTTGGAACCAGTGGAATATGTTGATGAAAAAAAATCAGATATGTGCTGTTTTTTCAAAAAGGTTTTGTCCAAGTTTAGTTTTGTCCAATCATTACCAGTTAGAAACATGAATCTTCTCTTCAAAATGTCTGACTGATGTTTGTATTCTGGCTGAATGTTTTTTTTCTAATTTGTCCTTCGGTCTCAGACGGGGGGGGACTTGTCGCAGTTGCCATGGAGACACTAATCATGCTGACAGGTGAGACCAGTCCCCTTCTGTCAGAATGATGAGTATGTGTGGGGGTGTGTGTGTGCAAGCATGTGTGAACATGCAATTTGGGCAATGAGACGTACATCATTCTGGCTGTATTATAGCCCTCTAAACACTGATGGGGGAATATTTGCATTTCAAACATTAAAATGCAAAAGGGGACAAATGCCGGCTGCTAACTTAATGCTTGTAAACATTGATGGCTACATTCAGTAAAATCATATTGTTTTGCAATTCGTCTGATACATCGTATGGCTGCATCTTACAGTGCAGCTCAGTGAAAACAAGGTAGTAACAGGCTAATATCTTGGGAACACCATGGCTATACTTAGGTAGCAGCACTGCAGTTACAGAGCTAAATAATCTAATAATATTCTAGGAGGTGTTTGTTTGTGTGTAAGAGTAAGAATGGGGGCAACAACAGGTTTATTTAAGGTAATAACGGGGCAGAACATCACTCAGTAATCACATGATTATAATCAACTAACTATAGGCTAATCTGCTGTTACCATTCATTACCCTTTTTACCGTGATATACCATTATTCACTACATTTTTAAATTTGTGAGTCACACATTGCAGTTAGATAAAAAATTGTTGCGCCATGTTTTTTAAGTCAATGATACAAAAGTATTCCCATTTTAATATTAACAATGAATTAACAAAAAGTTAAGTTAATCACACGTTCACTCCGCTCAGTGCTCTGCTGCTCCGTCTCCCCAGAAAGAGTGTGGTGCTCTGGATAACCAAATGGTACATTCCAACAGCAAACACCGACACCAAATTTACGAACGATCCAGTTTGTGCCAAATTACCCTCCGGCACTTGGAATGAGTATTTCTAAAATTACCACTTGTATCATCTTCCTCCATTGTCAAAAACAAGCCAACAGAACTTGTTAGCTAGCACTAGCTAATGTCTGCGGAGAATTGTTTAGCCTCCAGCTAAGCCCCACCCACCAAAAAACATCAGACTGTTTACTCACAGTAAAAGGGTCTGTAAGGCATACATATGTTTTGTGGGTCCACACAGATTTCATTTAAATTAATTTTGTTCAAAAATGGCTCTCTTGATAGTGAAGGTTCCCGACCCCTGTTCTACGCAATTACAATATAAACTAAGCACAAAAGGTAAGCAAATTTGTGTTTGGTAGATTATTTCTTTGTTGTAACAATGCTTCTTGGCAATAAATCTTACACTGTTGGAAAGCCTGTTTATTTCCCTTTTAAACTATGCCACATTTGTGAGGAACATGCATTTGTGGGATGAGCAGCAGAGCTGAGTATGTGGGTTGCGCCCATGAAAAATTTGCCAAATCTTCTCTGCCAATGCCAAATAGCTTTTTTTGCTGTTGACTTGTTTGGTAGGTTGGATGATTGAAGTCTGAAGAAACAAGACATATTGGCAATTTAACAATTATTCATTTAACAAACAGCAGCCTCAGTAGCATGTGGAAGGATAGCGTGTGTTCAGGATTGGGGACTCCTCCACCCCCCCGCCATTATTCAAAAGTTGCTCATTGCTCAAAATGCAAATACAGCCCCACAATCATACGCAACACTCAGTTATGAAAAATCTGAAACCCCTAATCTAAGATTTTTGTTTCAAAGTGCTCTAAAACGGTCGGTTTAGCTGTTATGTTACTAAACATTTCTTCTGTGGGGTATTTCCCCCCAGATACCCCCTGGAGGATTGTAGCACAGGGGGTGTAGATTGAAAACGGTCCTCCCAAATGTTCAATAGGGGATTGCGGCCCCTGGTGTCTTCAATAGCTTCAAAGCTGACTGTCTCGTCATTATGACCTCACATCTTAAGGTAACTCAACAGCCTGAAATGAAACTACCTTTTACCCCAGAGCAGGTTTGTTGTAGAGGCAGAATCATCTGTGCCATTCAAATTTGCCCTTGTGAATTCCCTTTATTGAGAGCTCTTTCCTGTGTTTGCTTATTCGAAACAACCCCTCTAGTCGTTTTCTCTACCTGTATCACCTCAAACCTCATTTGAATAACTGCTCTGCCTTTTTGTGCAGGCAAACAAATAAGTCACAGGTAGTAATTCGAGTTTCGAGACCTTCAGGCTACCTTGTTAAACTGTAAGTATTTCCTCACATTAAGTACTAATCGTCCACTTTTAAAATTAACAACACAGTCATTATACTCGTTTTCTTACCTTGTAATAATGTGGGTTTTTTTTAAGTATTTTTTGATCTATATGAGAAAAATCAATTTGTTTACCTCAACAAAGAGGTCAGAGGTCAGCTGTGAGTCTTTCCTAAGAAGTCCACCCCTCTCTCAGTTCTCTGGAAGCAACTCTTTTCCAAATATCCACAGATACAGAGAAATTTGCACCCTGCACGACTCTTTCACTTTCCAAATGAATCAGCATTTAAAGTGGTAAACCACGAGTTCCTTGTTGGGAACATGTGCAGCGCTAAGTGGCCGCGATTCTGCACTGCATTTCCTAGAGATCACCAGTGTAGTCCGAACACTCTGACGTCTTTTCCTTGAACTTTCTGCTGAATTAGTCTGAGTTTCTCTTTTTCTCGTCAGTCAGCTGCTCACGCTGACTATCCAGTTCTTCTTTGTGTGTTAACTCAGAATAAGCTGCTGTTGCAGTAACATGTAACGCATCAACACCCACTGATTTTGTTAGCGAGAGAAGACAGCAGATGGTGAAGCTCTATAATAAAAAAAAGTTCTTCATCATTTTACATCAGTCTGTGATTTTAAAGGGTTGCAAAAACTCCCATGCAACTCCCATGAAATACTGTACTTTGTATATAACTACATTTATTTTTCAGCTATTTTTGTTGACCATTTTATTAAATTTGATCAATTTCTTTAATTAAACTACACAGCCACATGCAAAATAGTTTACACTGGCTTAAACTCAGCCAGCTTATAATTACCCCAATATTATAATTACAAAATAATAAGCAAAATATTGTACTTTGTATTTAACTACATTTATTTTTCAGCTATTTTTGTTGACCATTTTATTAAATTTGATCAATTTCTTTAATTAAACTACACAGCCACATGCAAAATAGTTTACACTGGCTTAAACTCAGCCAGCTTATAATTACCCCAATATTATAATTACAAAATAATAAGCAAAATATTGTACTTTGTATTTAACTACATTTATTTTTCAGCTATTTTTAGTCACAATCTTATTAAATATGATACATATTTTTGGATTAAAGTACACAACATGGTGCAAAACAGTTTACATTAGCTCAAATTCAACAAGCTAATAATAATTGCAATATTATAAGTATAAATAATAAGGAAAATATTGTACTTTTTAGTCCACTACACTTATTTTTCAGCTATTTTTATTGACCATCTAATTAAATATGATACATTTCTTTGGAGCACGATATGTAAAATAGCTGACTTTGGCTCAAACTCAATAAGCTAATAATTATCACAATATTATAAGTATAAACAATAAGGTAAATATTGTACTTGTTACTTTGTTACATTTATTTTTCAGGTATTTTTATTGACCGTCTCAGAAAATATGATGCATTTCTTTAGGTCGAAGTACCCAACAGTATGTAAGTTTACATGAGCTCAAACTAAACAAGCTATTAATTATTTCTATATCATTATTTTAATAATCCAATACTAAATGTGGTCATCTGCATAATAAGAACTTTTACTTTTGAAAGTTAAAGTAAAATTTGCTGATAATAAATCTGTGGGATTTCACTTGGAGTGGAGCATTTTTTTTTTATTTTAATTTTTTCACAGTGTGTCACTACTTTTATCTGGAGAGCAGACTTGTTTCGCTTCATCTCATGGCAAATAAATACCATAAATTATCATGTTTAATCTCACAGTTAATCTTTAGGGTCACACATTGGTCACATATTATATTAATTTAATGAAGTAAAACTCATATATTACAGTATGTAAAGCTCACTATAGCCACGCAGCACTGTGACTGTCTCACACACACACACACACACACACACGCACACACACAGCTGCTTTCACCTGAAGCGCTCCTGTCCCGCGGTGTCCCAGATCTGCAGCTTGATCCGTTTGCCGGGCTCGATCTCCACCAACCGGGAGAAGAAGTCCACGCCGACGGTCGGGTCCGATACCTGGGCGAAGCGGCCCTCCGTGAACCGCCGGATCAGACACGACTTGCCCACCGTGGAGTCCCCGATGACGATCAGCCGGAACTGATAGAGCCATATCGCCTCCATGACTTGGCTGTGTGCCTGTCTGTCGCTCTCAGCGGTGCGTCTGTCTGTCTATCTGTCTGTCGGGCTGTCACGGTGCGTGCAGGAGCGCGTGCGTAAAGGAAGAGAGAAGGAAACAGAAGATATATTATTATATACATATTTTTTAACAAAGCAGCCTACATTTATTCAGTCAAGTACAGTTTTAAAGGCATTTTTACATTACCTGAGTTTTTCCATTTTATGCTATTTTATTCTTATACCTAACTACATTTCAGAATGAATTACTGTACTCTAATAAATACATATATTAATGTAGCCTACTAATATTCATCAACTAATAAATTATGATGTGTTATTGTAGACTAAGATACCCAACTAATAAGTATATAAAAAAATAACAAAAATCATCTCCATCTCTACCATCTGCTGCATTAAAGTGATGTAATGCATTAATAATAATTGTAATCCAGTCATATACATTATTTTGAAATAGGCCGTTATCATGAGTACTCTTACTTTTGGCGCTGAGATGAAACTGCCTGAATATCAGGACATGACATTTTGTGTTTTCTTGACCTTATACTTCATTCTACTTAGACCTGATGTCCTCATTCATGGACACTTTTTTGTGCCATCTAGTGGCAGTAAGAGCACATTGCACTAATCCATGTACGAACAAGATGGCAGCCATCTCTGCCAAAGTCAGTCTGAGGCTGACCCCGGGACAAAAGAGGACAAGGTCCAAAACCTGATCACGTTATGGTTGAGACTTGTTTATTTTACTGTTCTCACTTCGAAGTCGTTGAAATCCAGCACTTGGGCAGTGAGTTGTGGCGTCAGAAACCAACTGGAAAAGGGATCCTTTAATGTCAGCATGATACACGGCCGGTTGCCATTATAGTTTAACAGCGCCCGCCGGCGTAAGGGGGAAACGCGGCAGGGCAAGGACGAAAGTTAAGGCAGCAAAAGTCCAAGAAGGGCAGGTTGGAATGGTGGTGGATGAGTGCAACAAACACCGACCTTCACCCGAGAGAGCAGAGTTCACGTCCCGTAAGATTCTAAAGCCAAACCCTGTTCTTTTTTTCCTAAACCTAACCATGTGTTGTTGTTGCCTAAACCCAACCATGTGTTTTTGTTGCCTAAACATAACCATGTGTTGTTGTTGCCTAAACCCAACCATGTGTTTTTGTTGCCTAAACCTAACCATGTGTTGTTGTTGCCTAAACCCAACCATGTGTTTTTGTTGCCTAAACATAACCATGTGTTTTTGTTGCCTAAACCCAACCACGTTTTTGTTGCCTAAACCCAACCACGTGTTTTTGTTTCCGAAACCCAACCACGTATTTTTGTTGCCTAAACCCAACCATGTGTTTTTGTTGCCTAAACACACCCACGTGTTTTTGTTGCCTAAACCCAACCATGTGTTTTTGTTGCCTAAACATAACCATGTGTTTTTGTTGCCTAAACACAACCACGTTTTTGTTGCCTAAACCCAACCACGTGTTTTTGTTGCCTAAACCCAACCATGTGTTTTTGTTTCCGAAACACAACCACATGTTTTTGTTGCCTAAACACAGCCACGTGTTTTTGTTGCCTAAACCCAACCATGTGTTTTTGTTGCCTAAACATAACCACGTGTTTTTGATGCCTAAACTTGATATATGTGTTGAAAAAACAGTCAATTCAGCTGTTTTACCGACATAGTCCATTTATTTTGAAAGAGGCTGTATGTAAAACATAAATTTCCTGTGAAAACATAAGTGTATCTCGACAGAAGACAATACATGTAACAGAACTTGACATGGTGTCCCAGAACATTGACAACCGACATACCCAGGGTACCTTGCACATCGTAACTGGATGCGGAAAGTCCATGACCAAACGTCGATATGTGACGAGGTCGCAGTCAGAATGTGTTGTTTGAGGACACTGGGACTTAAATGTCATTGACAATGTTTAGTTTTCCTACTAATCAGGTCCTACTGATCCCAAATAGCTAGGAGAAATTAAAAATGCATACTAAACAAAAGTTCGGATCTCAATAGGATATTTCATATCACTATTATGGTGACAAAAATTGTCACGATTACTGTACAACTTCAATTAAAAGCCTAGTCCCTTTTAGTAAAGGCCTGTCTCAATTGGAACCCTGGTCTGGTAGCATCACTTAATAGGGATTTATACCGTGTGTGGCACTCAATAGTTTATACTGATACCATATACTCCTATAAAAATACAGTGAACATGTAGTTTAATGTTCCTGTAATATGGTCTTTATTTGATGTCTTCTTAGAAACATCTTGGGAACATTTTAGTGTCACTATTCATTGGGTTTCCACAGTGCTTTTACCAACTAAAGCGTAGATAGATGTATGTATCTATATAAAGAATAGAGGGTTGCACTCAAGACACTTAAAGTGCGACCCTCTCTTCTTCATATGGAAACATTTTAGCTGGTCACAGTGTTTGCAAGAGGCTACAATACAACCAGAATATGCTCCATAAAAGGTTTTTGTATGGTTGCAAATAATGTCCTAAAGATACAGGATCGACAGGATGTGCATTAAAGCTGGACAAAAACATGGCTTTAAAATCATACAAGAGTTTGATTCAATCTACTAGAACGTTCCCAGAATGTTTCCACTACCCAAAGTACCATACTGGAAGACCCTGAATAGGTCTGCAATGTCACTTTATTGTCATCAATTTCAATCTTCTATGAATTCACCCTGTTTTGTTAGTCCCTGAAAAAGTTAATATGATTCATTAGAAATATAACAACAAACATTAAAACTTTCCTTAGCAGCTATATCATAAAGCCAGTTGGGGAACATTAATCTCTGAGAGTATCCCAGAGATGTTTTCATAACCCAAAATACTTTGCGAGTACAGTCTTAAGTGCGAGTCTCTGCAATATCAATCTTTATATGGAGTTATAATATTTCTATAGGCACTTACGGCTTTAATGTGAGTACTAATCTTCTGTGGAATCCTACAATAGTTTATTCATCCCAGCATTCCCATTTCCAGATGCTTAATCCCTGTTTTAATGGAGGATTAAGATTTATTAAGAGAAGCTGAATTTCTTTGAAGAAATAAACATGTCAGACTTGTTATATGTCTGAAAGGTTCAGTGTGTAGGATTTAAGGGCATCTATTGGCACAGATAATATTCATAACTATGTTTTCATGGGTTTATAAACACCTGAAAATAACAATCGTTGCATTTTTATTACCTTAAAATGAGTTGTTTATCAACACATTCTCACTCCGACCGCGTCACATATCGACGTTTGTTCATGGACTTTCTACATCCAGATATGACGTGCAAGGTACCCTGGGTGCATAAGAGAAAATCCACGCAAATTCCACACAGAAGGGCTCCCAAACCCCAGGGTTTGAACCAGGAACCCTCTTGGGGCCTCACACTTTGCATACAGTCTCTTTCAAAATATACGCACTACATCAGTGCAACACTGCAAATTAACTTTTGTATTTTTTTCCTTCAACAACAAACACACGTGGTTATATTTGCCAACACACGTACGTGGTTAGTTTAGGAAAAAAAAAACAGGGTTTGGCTTTACCATCTTAACAGGAAGTGAACCTCCTGGGTGAAAGTCTGTGGTTGTTGGATTCATCCACCAACCCTCCCGCCCACCCCACTCAGACTTCCACTACCTTAACTTCCGTTTTTGTCCATCCACATTTCCTCCTGACGCCACCGGGCACCATTAAACAATAACGGCGACCAGCCCCGTATCACACTGACGTAAAAGGATGCCTCTTTTTCGTAGTTGTCTGATGCCGGAAGTCACTGACCAAGCACTGGATTTCTACGACTTCGGAGTGAGACTGGGTTGTTTGCATCTATAATTCCAGAGCGGGCCATCTTCCACGGAGTCCGCCATGTTTCTACAGTAGCCTAGAACGAACAAATCAAACACTGGCTCTAGGATAGGGCCATTCACATTTCCACATCAGCCACCATAGTTTTCCTACATTTGTGGCACCCAGGAGAAGTTTAAGCTCTGCAACCTCACCTCCAGATCCCACTCAGTCCTACACACTGGACCTTTAAAACAAGTCTGGAGGGGATCTTTGAGAACTCCTTTGGGGGAACACCTTAAGGTAATGTTCCTCAGATCTTATAAAATACAAATAAATATACAGAATTTTGGTAGTTTTGAGTAGCAGTGTATGCAATGTCATGCTGATGTATAGTCATTTATGGAAGTGTATCTTCTGTAATACACCAAGTGTATTCTCCACCTGCCCTGTAATCTTGTATTCTATCATTCTTCATCTCCAATGGTGTCACCAGGCAATAATACTAACACACATTCACATGACTTCTACTGCACCTCCAGTCCTACATTTGTCTTAATCTTTCCAAAAGTCTACCATTTTAAAATTCCATCGTTCTATAACATTAGGGATTACACTGCTACTATTAAAAACAAACACTGAAAAGTCTAAATTCCTGGACTACTGCTCCCCTAACTCTGTGACTGAAATATAACTTTGGCTGTTTGCCGACATCACACACATAACTGTGCTTCATTGTGTTCAGAGCGTGATTCAATTAAAACCACGAGATATGAGAGAAAATCCTCTTATGCTTTTCTCGATGGCGTCAATTGATGTTTTATTAAGCCTGCTTTTTGGATTATTGACCGTAGCCTAATGCCCTTTTTCATACGAGGCTTTAGCATTCGAATGTGTGACTTTCCAAATAATTAGACAGCATGCCCTGGTGTACTGTTCAGATATAGGGACTATAGGAGCATTTTTCACATGACTGTTGTTTGTTTGTTTGTTTGTTTGTTTGTTTGTTTGTTTTACCTCAGGACCATACCTGGGTACAGTTTTGAGGTGCTTGTAATTTACTTAGTTATTTCTATTTCATGCTATAATGTTTTCACTACATTTCTGGAGGAAATACTGTATGATTAAAATTTTATTTACAAAGCTTATGATTGGCCTTTGTTACATACAAACACATGTTAAAGCCTCTAATATGATAATCACAAACCGTCTGAATGGGGTCATCCTGCATAAGATAAGTTCACTTTTGACACTTTAAGTAGGCCTATATTTTGCTCATAATACTTTTATACTTTTATTTAAGACATAATATATATAATAACAAGTAAAAATGTGAATATTACTTTATATACAACAGTTGAATTTATTCTTAAAACTTGAAAAACTTGAAAATTATCATAAGCATCTGCAAGGAGTCAAACAAAATGTGAAATTTAACTTTAATACACCAAAGACAAATCTTATTCATATGCTCCTGTTTTGCATTACAGTAATAATTAACTGTACAGTTTATCATAATATAGCAATCTAATTTGGAGTCATTCTGCATAATAAGTATTTTTTTGTACTTTAAGTTGATGTTGCTCAACATATTTTTGTACTTTTACTTGAATAAATGCTCTGAATACTTCTTCCACTGCTGAGTTTTCCACAGAATAAGTTTCTACTTTGTAGCAAAGAATGAACTTGTTATACAAATTAAATCTTTCATTAACCCTTTGAAACCTGAGAAACCGAATAGGGCAGGTGGGAGGGGTGGTGTATTGGTCCAAAAGACACGGACTTTCACCCGTAAGATTCTAAAGCCAAACCCTGTTATTTTTTCCTAAACCAAACCATCTGTGTTTGTTGTTGGAGGGAAAAAAATGTCAATTTGCACTGTTGTACCGACGTAGTGTGTTTATTTTGAAACAGACTGCATGTAAATGTTAAATTTCCTGTGCAAACAGAAGTGTGTTTGAAAGAAGACAATGCATGGCAGAACTTTTGGCGTCCCAGAACATCAACAACAAACACACCCAGGGTGCCTTTCACATCGTATGTGGACGTGGAAAGTCCATGACCAAACGTTGATATATGAGAGTGAGAATGTTTTCTGATTTAAATTAACAAAATTAGTGCACACTCTTGCCACATTTTTTTTAATTTCTAAGGAAGTTTAAGTTCTTACAGTTTATTACCCAGGAGTCATGACTTCATATCTGTATGTGACAAAAACATCAAAGAATATAAGAAACTGTTAATTCAATTGAATAGTTTTCATTGTTTATGTAGAATAGACTTGTAATTTTGTTACTGATTTCTAGTGACTACTTTACACATGCACGACATGATGACAGAGATGGGGTTTAATGGGGTTTTGTCCTTAATTTAATTAGATAAACTTTGTATTTTTAATTTGTCAGGTATCTTATTGACACAGTTTCACAGTCTTGTCAATATTCATACATTCAATACTCATATTTTGACGTGGATTTAGGTTACCCAATCTATATCCATCTATGGGTCCAACCATTGAAGTAACTGTGTTAAACAGACTTTCCAGCAAGTGTTGCCACTAAGCCTTCTGCCTGTTACAGTTGACCCCACCCATGGTGCTGTAAGGCGGAATTCATACTTCTGCGTCGAATCAACGCCATACCCTACCCTGTAGCCTGACATGCACCTCCCCAGAAATGTAACTACACGTTGTGGAGATACGGACCTCCTGTCTATTGTTGTAAGCTGAAACCATTTCCCTCAGTGGAAACAAAGTTTTTATTTACTTTAATTTCACAGATAAGAAACAATAAATTGTGAAGACAATAAAGCCTCCACAAAAATAGCATTTTAAGTCTTGTGTGTGATTTATCCTGGCTTCATATGAGCAGAGGAAAAGTCTGCTAGCTGCTAGGCTAATTTTGCAATGTAAAATGCCATTGGCTTGTGCTAATAACGTTAGCATGTTATATGTGTTTAGTATAAGACAGTTGTTTTGTCAGTAAACCTTGTGAGTTGTAAAATGTTAAATGTTGCTGTTGTCCCTAGCTTCATATGAGAAGAGGAAAAGTCCACTAGCTGCTAGGCTAATTTATACAATGTAAAATGCCATAGGCTTGTACTAAAAACATTAGCGTGTTGTATTTGTGGGGAAAATGTGTCCAGATAAAGACGAGTGCTTTGTCTGTCGCGTTGTTAGAATAAAACAAAAATAATTAATCTCAAACAGTTTTAATAACATTCAGCCAAAACTAAAATGTGTTTCGTTGTGCCCTGCTCTCCCCTACTAGCTACCCATTAGTACACTATGTATCTAAAATTAAAATACTCTTTTGCATTTATTCAATAGTGATAAAAACTGAATACTATAATATTGTAAGATAAGTGTGAAAAAAGCCAGTCTGCATGATGAGTACTTTAACTTTTGATACTTTACGTAGCCTTAAATTTGGTGATAATACTTGTGCTTTTACTGAGGTAACATTTTGAAATCAGGACTTTAATTTGTAACCAAACCACTGCTTTCCTATTAGGTCAGACAAAAAGTAATAAAGTATTAAAAGAAATTGTGACGATTATTACACAACTGTGAGGGCTGTATGATCCTAAACAATGGGGATGTCATCTCAACACCCAGGTTAGGAGGATGATCCTTGGGCTTTAAATTCCCTATATTGTACTACCCACTGACCAGGCCATCAGGCTGGCAGGGAGCCACACACACGCAGCCTCCCATCACCCCCTCCATGTCTCTGTGGAGCCGGGTTGCGTACCTCGGTCGGTATGCAAACATTAGTGGCTGAATCCCCGGTGAATAGCAGCCTTGTGGGCTCTCACACCGGATGCGTTGGGGCAATTTGGAGGTCCAAAATGACACAGAGGATATCACATATCCAACATGTCAAGTGTGGCTTTATTATCTCCTGTAGTAGTGTGTAATGACACTATGAGTGTGTGCTGATGTGCATGTCTTAGAGTCTGGTACACATAGATATAGACATACTTGTGGCACAGATTGTCTTCACTGCATGCTATTATTAGACCAGCACACACACCATTGACTACAAACAGGCCTCATGCTCCTTACAGAAACCACTTTAAAGCTTTACGACGTGATGAATAACAGCATTACATGGTGAAATGAAAGCAGCCTACTTGGAGCAGGAGTGGACTCTAGGCCAGGATGGTGTCTCTCTGTGCCGCTCAGGACCAGGCTGATGTGGGCTCCATGGCACCGACCAGTCTGGCTCGATCGATCCTCAGGACACAGCAGAGCAGCTGAACCCCTGACAAAGCCTCGATGTTTGCCTTGAAGCCTTGCGAAGAGACGCTGGTGCACGGCAGGCGCTGCTGTGGGCTGATTTCCTTGTTGATGTCAGGCCCGATCGAGAGCTGAAAGAAAAATCCAGAGCAGGTGCAACAGAAGAAGAAGAAGAAGAGAAAAAACGGATGTTGCGCTTTCACCCGGAGCCACGAATAAACCACGGACAACAAGCGTGTGTTGTGTGTTCACACACCGACACGCGTGGATGTTCGTGAGGGCAGGATGCTCGCTGTCAGAGGGGGGAATCCCGCCGTATCACTTGTGTGTTCGCTGTGTGTTTGTGGGGTTTCGCTGCTGATGAAATGGCAGCAGTAGCAGCAGCATCATATAGCCTGACTCATCCCGCATCAGTACCACTGCCGTAAAGCACCGTGGAGAGGCGCAACACTGAGGGAAAACACTGTGGGCAGTCTGAGGAAGAGCTCAGAGGGGTGGTACAGAAAATAACAAAAAGTCTAAGACATTATTATTATCGTTATCATTATTATTAACTATGATAAAAATGATTATAATAATAAAATATTTTTTAAAAATAAATTATTATTATTATTGTTCTAATTATTATTATTATTATTATTAGCCTAACGATAATAAAAGAATTATAATATTTTTTTGAAAATAAATGACTATTATCATTATTATTTTGTTATTATTATTAACAATAATAAAATAAAATTCAAAAATAAATTATCATTATCATTATTATTACTGTTGTTGTAATTATTATTATTATTATTATTATCAACGACAACAATAATAATAAATCATTATTAGCATTGTTTTTATCATTATTATTATTATCATTATTATTATTGTTAACGATATAAAAATAATAAAATAAAATTGAAAAATAGGCCTAAATTATTATTATTAGCATTATTATCATTGACGACAACAATAATAAAAAGAATAATTATTAGAAATAAATTATTTTATCATTGTTTTTATTATTATATCATTATTATTATTATCATTAAAATGTATTAAACTAAAACGGTGGAATATATATATATATATATATATTTTTTAATCCAACAGTATGATATTGGGTCCTGCATATGTTTCACTATCTTTAATGCAGACACGCTCTACTTTGAAAATTAATATAATGATGATTTTATTTATTTATTTATTTATTTATTTTATTAATACCACAGTGCCTGTTTCAAGAGTAGTCACGCTGTGCAACAAGAGGGAAGCTGCACACTCACTGCGCCAGTGCACTGTCCATGTGCACGCGCCTAAGCGCGCAGGCACGGAACTGGACGAGCTGCAGGGTGGGAAGTGTAGTCTTTACACATGCAGCACGGGAGCCTTGTGTGTGTTGTCATTTCTACCCTTGTGAAGGCCAAGTGACTTCAACAAGATAAGGAAAGAGAGTTTTTTTTTTTTTTTAAGGTACTCTGTTATTAATGGGTACATTATTGATATTTAATTAGGCCTAGTAATAGATTTAGCATTATTGAGTTACTGGTACATTTTTATGTTATTGTCATTTATAGTACTTTGTATATTGTTGGGTGTGAGGACCCTATTGAAATGCAAGTAATTCTTCTTCTTCCTCCAAATTAATTTTCTTTTTGGGGGGCTTAACATACTTGAAAAGTTATGAAACTTTGCACATATATTAGAACTGCTGAAAAATCTGATATTTTAAAGGTTTCATGCTCAGGTGCCAAAAAATGGCTCAGTAGCACTCCCTACAAAATTTGGACGAAACAGCCCCCGAAGCTACTCTCAACCACATGTATGAAAATTGGTAAGCACATGTAACACCCCAAGATTTACAAAAAAGTCTCTTGGACCCATGCTCTAAACTCAACAGGAAGTCGGCCATTTTGAATCTACTATGCCACTTTTGTGCATTTTTGGCCATTTCCAGGGCTCGTACTTTAACAAACTCCTCCTCGAGATTGTTTCATTTGTTTTTTCGTGTGCGGTGTTTAGTGGAGTCATTGTGTTCCCTTGATTATGAGCTAATTGGTTCCTACCTGCCCTTGTTTTGGGGGGACAGGTATGAGTGATACACAAGAGAGAGTGTGTGCCTTGTACTTAACAGTGAAGAGAAGTTGCTGTACTCCTGTGACACCAGACTGGCTTTGCCACCCAGCACACAATGCACCCACCCCGATGCCAGTCCCTCCAGGTGGTGGTGAGGGCCCCATGTTATTCATTTGGGCTGAGCCCAACCAGGCCCCATGGCCCAAGGCCCGGCCACCAGATGCTCAGAAAGGATCCAGAAAGTCTCTATAGAGCAGGCTCAAGGGGTGGTGGATGGGTCCAACAAACTTTTTCAGCCTAGGGCCTGGTGTTCCCTTCCTGTATGAATGTAGAGCCAAAACATTTTGTTTTTTTGAAACCTAACCACATGGTTTTGTTGCCTAAACCCAACCACATTGCATAAACCTAACCATGTGCTTTTGCTGATGTCCCAGTGTTAGCTGCCAAGTGCTTTTGTTGCCTTAACCTATTTGCTTTTGTTGACATCCTGGTGTTGGTAGCGGCATCCCAGAATGTCAACAGCAGTTGCAAAAGGATACCTAGCAGGCAATATGTAAATGTGAAAGGCCACTGACAAAGCAGTGATATGTGACATCTCGGGACGAGAACATGTTGGATATCTTGACTTCAAGGGACCCCTTTGAAAATGGACATGCCAGTTGTTCCCTCACATAACTTTAGCCTAACTTTGGAGCATTATTCAGCCCCCTTCCCAACCTGTGACATGGTTGGTACCAATGGATGCCTCAGGTTGTCTACTTTCATGAGATACCATGACCTTTACACTAGCTTAAAATATGAGTGTACCACAGTCTCTTAGTGTCTTAATTTATGTGTTGTTGTAAGATTTTAAGACTTTAAGATCAGGACATTGAAAAGAGATTGCCTCCATGGATCATGCTGTACTGTTTTCACTGAAAATGAAAACACACTGATCATTTGAAAAGGTTCTTTAACGTGTTTGCTTTTATTATTGCTTTTAACTCAAGTATGTTTAAACATTCTCCAACTTTAATATTGTCCTGTACTACACAGAAATTAATGGAAACTCTTGAAGGTGCGAAAAAAATATTTGAGCCACTGTGGAACTTGGTCAGCAGCAATTTAACGTACATGAGTTATAATAGAGAACAATGTAGAAACACAAAGTTAAACTATGGGTTATTTTAACCCAGCAAAGAAATGTTACTAAGTTGAATTCCAAGTAACAGAGCCTACACCATTGCCTGATGTGCACTCCCCAGAAATGTAAATACGTGTTGTGGTGACACAGACCTCCTGTCTAGGAAGCTTTTATTTAGGCTACTTTAACTTCACAGATAAGAGCCAATAAATTGTGAAGACAATAAAGCCTCCACAGAATAGCTTTGTAAGTCTTGTGTGTGATTTATTTGAGTAGAGGAAAAGTCTGCTAGTTACTAGGCTAATTTATACAATGTAAAATGCCTTAAGGCCCATTTCCACTGAAGAAGTTCCTGGTACTATTTGGGGGCAGGAACTACTACAGGAACGTCCTCTCGCTCGGCCCTCTCAACCGCCGTGTCTCCACTGAGAGAGCGGAGTAGGAGGAAGGTTCCTGTAAAGTTACCAGGCTCTGCATGGGGCTCTGTATGTGACGTAATCGTTGCGTGACCATTTTGTCCGGGGCAACATAGGGGCATAGGGGCATAGGGACGCCGTTAGCCGTTAGCGGTGTCTGTAGTAACTCCGGTCACAGTCCGTGAAAAAAATATTTTTTCCAGCGGATGTCTTAGTTACAACATGATTGAGCTAACTGGAGTAGTTTCATGTCGTATCCGACAACGGGAGGCTTTTATCAGATGACGTCCTGATGTTAGCTTTGCTGCTGCTGTTAGCTGTCCCTGTCAGCTGATGCTTTCTAGACATCGTGATTTCCCATAACTGAATAAATACCACACATAGCAACACAAAACTGCTTTGCTAGCTCAATCATGTTGTAACTAAGATATCCGCTGGAATAAAAAAATTTTCACGGACCGTTTATTGAGTTATTACAGACACTGCTAACAGCTAACGGTTAGCCTTGCTAAACTACGATGACCATGTTATTATTTACAAAACGTCACATCCCACCTTGAGTACATCCAATCAGAACCAAGTAATCCCCAAGCCCCAGCCAGGAGTTTCTCAGGGCCGTTCTGAGTACCTACTCTGAGGCAGGGACTAATTTAGCCCCTGTAAAAGTTCTGGAACTCTGTCCTTCGGGGGTGGTTCCTGCGATGGAGACACGCACCAACGGCCCCGGACCCGTAAAATTACCCCGAAGTTCCTGCGGTGGAAACAGGCCTATAGACTTGTGCTAATAACGTTAGCATGTTGTATTTGTTTGGAAAACGTGTTTAGTATAAGACAGTTGTTTTGTCAGTGAACCTTGTGAGTTGTAATGGAGCTGAATTTGTAACGTTACCTTTGTTAAATGTTGCTGTTGTCCCTGGCTTCATATGAGTAGAGGAAAAGTCCGCTAGCTGCTAAGCTAACTCATACAATGTAAAATGCCATAGGCTTGTGCTAATAACATTAGCATGTTGTATTTGTGGGGAAAATGTGTCCAGATAAAGACAAGTGCTTTGTCTGTGAATGCTGCGAGTTAAAGTGAAGCTGATTTGTGTACTTGTGTTTGAAATTGTCTCTATTAAGCCATGTTTAATGTGTGTTTAATGTGTATTTTGAATCAGCTAAACTTTACAGCACTTCACAGAAACAACTGATGCTGACTAGTGTTTTGGAGGTGTAACTGCAGTGACACAGACACACCACCACACATGTATAAATGCTCACAACGGTTTAGGCCATGTGTGTAGGCTACGGCGTAGGCTCTGCTGCACAAGTATAAATCCACTAACACAAACTTTTAGGAAATATTGTAGGGTACTTATAAGGCTTATTTATGTCAAATAACATGCACATAACACACTTGTCCTCACAAAACAATAAAAAAAAACACAAATTCAGTCAACACAATAAAATGTAAAGATGCATAACATGTAACACAAACAAGGTTTAAAACTGAAACTACTGAAACGGAAGCATGACACCGATAAAAACACCTCAAGTTTGTTTTATTTTGAGTCGCAGCCACGATTCACTAATTTTGTCATTAAAATGCAGGTGACCACAAGTCTCACACACACACACACACACACACACACACACACACACACACACACACACTCTGGGGGCGTGGTCGCACAGACAGCTCCAGCTCAAACAGCTGACAGTCCTGTCTCTCTCCACAGTTCTCTGGCAGCGGCCCAAACAGCAGCAGGAGGAGATGTGCACACAGACCGCAGGCTAAACTGATAACAACACCACAGTGTTTCTTCTTCAACTTGAACACGACAGCGTTTTACAAACAAGAAAGTTCTCCTTTTTTCACTGTTGGAAACTTTTTGCGCGGAGCTGACAGAGACCAAATGTCCCGTGAACACTTGCAGGGACGGTAACGATGATAAGACAACCCGAGGCACAATATTTCAACAGGTTAATCCTGGTTTTGTGAGTAAGTTTTAATACTGAGAGCCATTTTTTGTCTTTAGACATTTACTTCTTATAATATGGATACTTTCGCGTTTTATCGCTTTATTTTTATAATTTTTTCTTAAATAATTCTTTTTTTTTTTATCCAAGTGTCAAATATTACAAGTATAACTCGGTGTTTCAGACTCGACACATGACTTGAGGCCGTCAGTACAGTCACCAAACCCTCCGTTTCATGCGGATCCTAATTGGAGACCTCACCGTGCCATCCCTCTCCACGCGCGCTCTCTACCGGAGCAGTAATGCAGCACGAGCGCCTGCTCAAAGTGTTGGTCATAGGCGACCTGGGAGTGGGTAAGACGTCCATCATAAAGCGCTACGTGCACCAGGTGTTCTCCCAGCACTACCGCGCCACCATCGGAGTGGACTTCGCCCTCAAGGTGCTCAGCTGGGATCACAAGACGGTGCTGCGGCTGCAGCTGTGGGACATCGCCGGTGCGTAACAGTGTGGCTGCATGGAGATGAGGTGTTAGCCAAAGATTGTGTATTATGTGAGATAGAAAAGACCTGTATTTAGCTGGTATTCACACTTTATTTGCATATGTAATGATCTTAGAACTACTCCACAAATTGAGTTGGATTAATTTAAAGGTTGGATTCAAGATTTTGGAAAATGTTATTAAGAAAAAGTCGAGCTAAGTCAAGAGAATCAGACATGATAACCTGTAGTTTACTGATTCTTTATGGACATTCCCATTGTTTTACTTATATTTGTGTCTTAAATATCAACTAGTCCATACCCATTGAGTGTGCAGTTGTCCACGTACAGTTTCACATGGTGTGTGTTTGGGATACAGGTCACAGGAAATTGCAGATTAAATAGTTAACTGAACCCATTAAGAAGAGCAATGTATTCAGACAGAGTTTGTGTGAATTTGATAGTAAGATAGCTTTATTGAAAGTACAGTAGTACCATTGCCAATAGTGGGATAGTTAGTGTGCTAAAACTGTACATTAGTAGTTGAGGTAGCATATTACTTAAAGTGTTTATATGTTGTATTGACTTAAAAGTCGAGCGCACTGGTAGTTCACATGGGAAAGGTGCGGCTAGCCCTTGTTGCAGCAGCATACCATACCATGGCTTAGTCATACCAAAAATTAGAAAAACAAACAACAACATTGGTCCACAGGGGGAGCCACAGCGATCGGTCGGTCGCATTTTAGCCATTTTTAAGCATTTTTCTGTTGTTATAGCGCCACCCAGTTGCCAATTAGAGTTAAATTTCTCCAGTCACCTTGAGGCGTCCTCTTCTACATATCTACCAAGTTTAGTAAAAATCAATATGGCGGTTAGGCCTAGATAAGAAATTAGCTCTCTAGCGCCCCCATTTTGTTTGATGGGGTCAATAATGGAGGGGTCCCCTCAGATTATGTGTGGTCATATGCCTACAAAGTTGCGTGATGATCGGTGAAACCCTTGAGATGTTATACACCTTTATGTGATGAGCCACGCCCTCCGCAATATTCATTGCATTATAGAAGCTCAGTTTTAGTAAGTTTTCCAACTTTTGCCAAGAGGGAACTTTAGATATTGGTCCCTAGATTATGTTCACAGAGTTTCATGCAGATCGGTCAAACCTCCTAGGAAGAGATCGATTTTAAGTGTTTTTCAAAAAATTCAAAATGGTGGAAAATCTATATAACTGGAAGTTAAGGGTTCTTGAGGCAAATTTGTTCCTCATGAGGAGAGGCATCACAGTGCAAAGTATCATGTCTCTACGACATACGGGGCATGAGATATGCCCATTCAAAGTTTGCAATTTCAATCAGTTGCTATAGCGCCCCCCTTTGGCCAATTGATGTAATATTGCTTCATTCTCATCCTCCCATGACCCTCTACCACTGTGCCAAATTTCACATGGATTGACCAAGGCAGTGAGGAGAAAAACGTGGAACAGACAGAGATTTCGTCATTATATAGTAAGATGACTCCTGATCATGGCTGGATTATGAGACAGTGGGCTGCTGGGCACAGGGATTCAGAAGGCCCCACCACCTTCCCTACGTAGAAGCAAGACACACAGACTTTACAGTTGTTTGGTCGCGTTTTGTTGTTGTGTGGCATCTCCTTGTAGTCCATATGGGTGGCATGATGGAGCAGTGGTTAGCATTGTTACCTCACAGCAAGAGGTTTCCTGGTTTGAACTCTTCTGTGTGGAGTTTGCATGTTCTCCCTGTGCCAGCGTGGGTTTTCTCCAGGTACTCCAGCTTCCTCCCACAGTCCAAAGACATGCAGGTTAACTGATGACTCTAAATTGGCCATAGGTGTGAATGGTTGTCTGTCTCTTTGTAGTCATTTTGCATGTTTTTGTTATTGTTTTGTGTCTCTTTTTAGTTGCTCTGCATCTCTTTGTTGTCATTTTGTCTCTCTTTGTGGTTGTTTTGTGTATCTTTGTGGCTGTTTTGCCCCTCTTTGTAGTCATTGAGTGTTTTGCATCTCTGTGAAGTCATGATGTGTCTCTTTTTTTGTTGCTTTGTATCTCTTTGCAGTTTTTTTGAGTCTCTTTGTAGTCACCTGCATCTCTTTGTAGTCTTTTTGTGTCTCTTTGTTCTTGCTTTACATCATTCAAAGTCATGATGAGTGTCTTTTTTGTTGCTTTGTGTCTCCTAGTCTCTTTGTAGTCACTTACATCTCTTTGTAGTCTTTTCGTGTCTCTTTGTGGCTGTTTTGCCCCTTTTTATAGTCATTGAGAGTCCCTTTGTGTCTCTTTGTACTTGCCTTGCATCTCTGTGAAGTCATTACGAGTCTCCATTTTGTTGCTTTGTATCTCCTTGCAGTTTTTTTGAGTCTCTTTGTAGTCGCTTACAACTCTTTGTAGTGCCATGTTTGTAGTCATTATTAGTTGCATCCTGTCTCTTTGCAGCTGTTTTGCATCTCTTCGTAGTCGTGTTGTGTCTCTCTGTGGTCATTTAGAGTTCAATGTGTCTCCTCAAGTGACATCTTGCAGGTGAAGGTCAGAGTCGCCCTTGACCATTTGGGCCTGTGCAAGGCTTTGTACTAGGCCTATACTACTTTGTATAGGCTAGGTGCATATGACTGAATTACTCAAATAAGATCCTAAACATAACATCAAGTGAAATTTGTGTGAGATTATAAAGACATAGCTTATACTTGTGTACATGGTCGTCTAGAGATTCTTCAAACATAAGAATAGCTGCTGATTATTTTTCTGTCGATTGATTCACCTTTATATTGAATCCAGGCTTTTAAAAAGTGGTATCAAGGGCTTTCATAATTTCAGACAAACATGTCGAAAACACATATTTAGTGCTCAGATGGCAGACAACACAAGTGAAATCTGTACGTGTACTTTTAAACAAAGCATTTATGGCACTTTCAACATGTAACAGATTCATTCTTATTAATACAATTAGATATATCTTATCCAAGTACAATGCAGCATCGAAGCAAACCCTAGAATATACAGTAGTCTGCATTTTCTGACACGTAGGCTGCATTTTGCTGACTTCATCCAACAATGATGATGCATGACACAAGTGAACGCCCGGATAATGTGGTTAACCTCTGTTTCTGCAAATGAAATGTTGAATGTACCCTCCAGTACATCGTATTACCTGCCAGATTAGCTGTTAAAAAAAGAGACGCTTGCTGTTTTCTGCCTATAAGATCTATCATGCCTCTCTAATTGCATACAATTTAATGTTCTTTTAGCCTGTCGGCTGTCTCACACACTTGCCGAGCGTGTGGCTGTTGAATGATATGATCGCTGATAAAAGCCGTCATTTACATGAAGACGTCCAGCGGATGGACTTTAGACTGTAACCACCAGTGATGACTTCAAACTGGTGTCCCTTCCTGGGAAGCTGATAAACTGGTGTTGACAGTGGGCAGATTATCCTTGTCGGTGCGTCAAAGTGATAATTGCATCACTGTTTTGTGTGAGTGACTGTTTATCTGGATGAGTCCAGGCTCACTTATTCATTAGCTGGGCTTTCTTGCAACAAGTGTTTTTGCATTGAACATTTTAAATATTTTATTAGCTACAGGTGTGAAGGTGAAATTAGTAAGTCTGTTTTTTACCACCAACACAAATACATCAATGAAAGTTGTGTCTGTTAGTTTCTACTCAAAATACTCGTCAAGTTAGGGCGTCTTTTTTAAGACCAACCTGGAAGTTAGCTTCACTAACGCTAAATTAACAGATTTCCAAATGAAGTTTTGCATTAGAAGATTTGAACCACACATTCAGATACAGTGAAACGAATCTAATAGAACAAATGGAAACTCTGAGTGAAAATGAAAAGAATAGTTTGCACTTTGTTTTCTTGCTGAAGGTTAGATGAGAAGATTGATATCACTCTCGTGTCTGTGCAAAAAGTATGCAGCTACAGCCAGGAGCTAGCTTATTGCTGAGCTAAGCTAATTGTGTCATATAAGAGTGGTGTTGATCTACTTTGTTAACTCGAGGCAATTCCGAAAATGTTAAGCCATTAAATATATCCTGACAGAAGTACATGAGACAGTTAATTTGTGGAAAAAATCACATTCCTCTTCCTCCTCCTAATGCTCCTAATGGCATTTGCAAAAATCCACCACGCCTGAACGAAAACAAGTCAGCGGTGAAGAGTCTGTGGCGACACTGTACCAGTGTTGCCAACTCTATTCCAATGAAAGTAGCTAGTGCTAGCTCCAACAGTTGCCAGATGAAGTCAAACTTCAACATTCAAACAGGGGTGTCATGGTACTGCCTTGCCTCACAGTATGAGGGTACAGGGTTCGAACCCACCAGCTGACCGGGGCTTTTCTGTATGGAGTTTGCACGTTCTCCCTGTTTTACCATGGGTTTTCTCCAGGTACTCCAGCTTCCTCCCACAGTCCAAAGACATGCAGGTTAATTGGTGACTCTAAATTGTCTGTAGGTGTGAATGTGAGAGTAAATGGTTGTCTGTCTCTATGTGTCAGCCCTGCGATAGTCTGGTGACCTGTCCAGGGTGTACCGCTTATGGTCTACTAGAGTGCACGCTTCCAACCCAGAGAGCAAGAGCATCAACATTACTATAGAAGGGGCGTCGGTGGCTTAGTGGTAGAGCAGGTGCCCCATGTACAAGGCTGTTGCTGCAACAGCCCGGGATCGAGTCCAGCCTGTGGCCCTTTGCTGCATGTCATCCTCTCTCTCTCCCCTTTTCACACTTAACTGTCCTGTCCATTAAAGGCAAAAAATATATTTAAAAAAAAACAAAACAAAAAAAAACATTACCATAGAAACTTACTACAGTTGAACCCCTACTTCAGTGGCCAGTCTCATACCTACTGCAAGGTGCCAAAAGAGAGACGGAAGAGACCCTACACTGATGGTCAAAAGCAGTGGTGGATTTCATCAAACTTGCCAACCCTTGCCCTTGCCATTGCCCTCTCCTGGTTCCCCCCCGGGGCTACAATTCTCCCATATTTCTAGATGCCAGATCTTCACACTTTTATTTCCTTTTGTTATCATGACCTGTTTCTAGCACTGTACAGTGTGTATAAGCCCTGCAACTCTAAAAGTCTAATGCTTCCTCATCGTTGGCTTTTCCCGCCTCCTTCCTGACCGTCTGGGGCTGGATAGAGTCGCCCTGTCCACATTACGAGTGCGTGACGGGACCGCTGCAGCAGGGGTTTGAAGGATGTATCTGGTACTCGGCTTACCCTCCTCCATTGCGGCAGGGTACCCGGCTGTCTTCCACAGACTATAGGCATCCTGTTCTGCCTCAGTTAGGCATCCAGGACCCAGGGCTGTGTGAGCCAGGGTCGGACAGCTTGCTGTGGATCCCTGGCACTGGCTTAGCCTACAATCTGGCCTCCCTCCTTCCTCCCTGGTACCCCTCCAGATGTACCAGGGGCATGAACCAAAAACTAAACCAAATTAAGTGTAAGGCCACTGAATTCAAACCCAGCATGCATTGGAATGGATAACAATATATTTCTTGCTTTTCCCCTAAGAAAATCGCTAAATTTGCCAATACTTGAAATTAAGTCACTAAAAGTGGATAAAAAGTGGCAAAATCTAGGATGAAAATCACCAAGTTGGCAACATTGCACTGAGCTGCCAGCAACAGCAGACACAGCAAAGACAAATACACAGAAGTAGACTGACAACGAAAAGCTTGCTTTCACTTTCACAGATTGGTTGTTGTAGTTCAGGCACAGTGGATTCTTGCAAATACCATTAGGAGCACTAAGAGGAGCCAGAGGAACATTATTTTTAGGTACTACTGTCATGATATGGTGACAGAACTTCATAAAAGTTACTTAATGTATCTTTAATTTCTGGTTCAAATATAATTAAAGTGTGATTCTGATGTGATTATTTATTGAGCTAATTTGCTATACTGCACATCTTTACTCGCTCTGAGCTGATTTATATATGTATATACATGAAAAAAAAAATACGTTTATTGCAAAACATCCACTAGAAATCGTCCAGCTGAGCCCTGAGTGAAACTGACTTCCAGGTTGATACGATCATGTGCACCATCAAACAGGAAGCTTGCAAAACCACATTTGAAAAAGCGACAGGCGTATGTTGTTCAGTGTTGTGAAGTTCTGTCATGTGTTTAGTATATTATGTCTGTGATGCTCTAGAAAGATGATACAGAAACTGACCTGACGTATTTTATACTGACACATGTAGCTGATTAAATACAGCAAATGTTTTGATGCAAGACGTTTGACATTTTGAATTAAAAAGACCACTGTGACCTTTTAGAAGTTACTACTTCCAAGGGTTTTCGGTTTTTGATCTAAACTAATCTTTACAGTAGGATTATGGAGTTACCTCAGCAAAACATTTGTCACTGAGTGTTGACACTGATTGGATCTTGGTGATGAGATAACATCTGCTGTGAGGAGACTGTTGCTATGTGTGTGTTCAGGCATTTGGCATGTAAACAGGGTTTTTTCTATCAGCTGTTGTCTTGCTGGTCATGTGCATTTTGTGTGTGTGTGTGTGTGTGTGTGTGTGTGTGTGTGTGTGTGTGTGTGTATCAGATGCTCACTTAATGATTCACGACTATATCAGGATCATGTGGAGGAAGTTAGCATCCAGGATATAGACTTATTCATACATTCAGTTCCACACACACACATTGCATGCAATGAAGATGCATTTTCTGCATGCACACGCATGGTTTAACACAATTTCACTTTAATTCGTCAATTTATCAATTAGTTGATCGACAGAAAAGTAACTGGCAACTATTTTCATAATGAAAATGATCATTTAAGGGATGTTTTTCAAGCATAAATGCCAAACAGAGCCTTGTTTCAGCATCTCAAATGTAGAAATTGGAAGCTAATATCTCAAATAAAATAAAATAACCAATCTAAATTCTCACTATACCTCATTATAACGGGCATTTTTTTTTACAAGTTTCTCTGTCATTTTATAGATGAAAGGTTATTTTTCAAATGAAATAATCAAGAAATTAATCAATAATTGAATTGCCGTAAGTATTATTTGATGCACTAAATCCACGGTTTCAATTGCAAACAATGCTGCTGAGATAAGAAATAAAGAGTCATTTTCATAAAGAATTACAGCAGTATCTATTTCAGTTTGACATTAAACTCTTAATCAGCTCACTTAGGAGTTAGACGTCTCCCTTGTTTCTATTTCAAGTTGGTCTGTAATCGAGTTTAGCTTCAAGCTAAGAATATACTCAGGTGTCTCATCAAGTTTTCTGAAGTCTCACATTGACTCTGGTTCAAAATAACGACATGTCGTTTTGAAAATGGTCTCTGAGACTCTGAAATGGTTGGCAAAATAACATAAACCTCAGAGACAGTATTTATTCTGTCGTGTTTCTTCTTCTTCTTCTTCTTCTTCTTCTCCAAAAGGGCAGGAACGCTATGGCAACATGACCCGTGTCTACTACAGAGAGGCGGTAGGGGCTCTCGTCGTCTTCGACATGACCAGACTGTCCACGTTTCAGGCCGTCCTCAAGTGGAAAGGAGACCTGGACTCGAAGGTAAATATGACGATATGAGAGGAGGTGAAGGATTGAAGGGATGAAGGATGGTAGGAGGACATGAGTAGGAAGTGAAGGACAGAGGGAAGGAATGAAGTAGAGAGAGAGAGAGAAGACCAATCCTCATTTTTTCTATCAGCATCTTCCCTCCACTCATCTCGTCTACTTCTGCTTTAGTCATGACTCGCCATATTACCCAGGAAGTCTTTTGATAACAGACACACAGAGTGAGCATGAGCGTGTCTCACAGTGTGTGATACCGTGAACAGAGAAAATTAAGCTTGTGTAGGATGTGTTTCCTCTTACAATGATTGTGTTTTTCTTATGCAACCTCTCTTTCAAATGGTAAAAGTCAGATTGACATTTGTACAAACTTCTTTGACTTGTCTCTGTAAGGGAAACCGTTCTTGCAGTAGCGATTAAAAATACCACAGGAGACATGTGCTGCGTAAATAAATAAATGTGTGGAAATAAACATGTGAAATAAACACGTGGTGGGTAACTCAGTCACATGGTGTGAGCAGAGCCATCTGCAGCTCAACGTGACAAAGACAAAGGAGCTGGTTGTTGATCTGAGGAGGGCAAAGGCACTGGTGACCCCTGTTTCAGTCCAGTGGGTCAGTGTGGACATTGTTGAGGACTACAAGTACCATAGACAGTAAACTGGACTGGACTAAGAACTGTAGTGGAGGTTAAGATCCTTCAACATCTGCTGGACAGTACTGAGGTTGTTTTTTGAGTCTGTGGTGTCCTGTTTGCTGCTGTGTGCAGTAGATTGAGGGTAGCAGACGCCAATAGACTCAAGAAAATGATCCACAAGGCTTGTAAAGTTGGGAGGGTGGAGCTGCACTCTTTGGTGGTGGTGTCAGGGAGGAGGATGCTCTCTAAGTAAGGTGTCATCTTGGATAATGTCTCCAAACCCACTCCATGATGTGCTGGTTAAACACAGGAGTACATTCATCCTCTGAGATGCTCCACAGGGCGCCAAAAGAAGTAATTCCTGCCTGTGGCCATCAAACTTTTCAGTTCCTCCCTCAGTGTGTAAACACTCTGAGTCAATAGACTTTGGCCCTTTGACTTATTTCATCCATTCAACCTTGCAGTATGAACTTAACTGTACAAAAAATAATGCAATAATTCAACTGTTAAATATTTTCTTTTTAGCCGACCATGGCTAAAATCGCTATTGTTCTTAAATGTTTAATAACTTTTGAACTGCTAATTCTGTCCACATGCTTTTAAAAGTCACATAAGGTGCATTCTCGGAACCCATCGGCTGTATTCGGCATCTGACTTCCGGCAGACGGCGATACAGCCGCTGGGGACAGACCCCCGATTTTTTGGCATTCCAGGTTTGATTTGGGCAGAGGAGGCAAATTTCCGTTTCCGACTTCCGTTTATATATAATAAGTAAATATGCTGAACCATTGCAATGGATTCAGAGTTTGCAGTGACGCCAATTATGTTCCGCCTCGTTAGTTCACCGCACGGACCGTTTAACCTGGCAACAACTGCAGCCGGCTCAAACGTGATTGGCCAATATCACGCGGACTACAAACAGCCTACAACCGGAAACCAGGGCTCTTCCACTCTTCTTCCGGAGGCAAGATCTCCGGGGTTTGCCTACAGACTCTACATTCACTGCATGTAGAGTCTGTATATAGAGACTACATAAGGTGGAGAATCTCAGCTTTTTCAATGGTATCACATATGTCTTGTCTGGACATTCAGAGGCTCCATAGTGGACGCGATTACACCATCACATTTTGCAGCATTGATTCACCAAGTAAACCCACGTAGTTCAGTCCTCCAAGCCAAACTGCAATGGTTGTAATGGCTTATCCCCTCCATGTTGGTTCAAAATTTCACTAAGGTGTTACAAGACATATTCCACTCCACCAATCAACATTGGTTTCGGAATTGCTTTTTTGGAAACACAGAAACTGAGACGAAGTAGGTTTGTTTGCTTGCATGAAATCATGCACAATGATAACAGATGTACGACAGAGCACAGCAGAAAGCAAGACCAAGATGGCAAAGTGTCTTTAAGGGTAAACATACCTGTCAAATGTTCTTAATCTTACACACAAACACACACACACATTTACACGTTAATTGCGTGCTGCTGTTTTTGCCACCACCTGTCTTTCAGAGTCTATAGATGGCAGAGTTTTAAAACTAAAGTGATGATACTGGATATCATAAAACTAGAAGACCCACAGAATCTACTGGTACCATGTTATATTAGCTTCTCAAGAAGGGGGCTAAATAATGCTCCAAAGTTAGGCTTAATTTTGGCGAGGGAAAAAAGGTCCCTTGATCTCTCATCTCAAGATATCTGAATGAAACTAGGTTCTGTGGGTACCCACGAGTCTCGTCTTTACAGTCACGTCCACGTTAGTCCCATATAGTTGTGGGCACACTATACACTTTTTTGCATTTTTATTACAGACATATGTTTAGAAAAACTTGACACAAAGTGCTGAGCTGCATCTCAAATTAATGTTCAGGGGTCCCATTTATAAACATTGTGTACGCACAAAACAAGGCCTGAAAGAGGTGTACGCCACCCTGGAAATCCAGAGTTCTCGCGAGAGCACAATTTGAATTTGCTCAGCAAGTCACTCTGGCAATCAGTAATGATGCTCATTACCCATGCACATGAAACCGAGCTGCACCAATCACTTCAGTGTATCTGATATAGGCAGGCCAGAGGCAAGCTAAACAGATGACAACAGTGCTGCGACGATGAAGTCCGGAATCAGTCAGTAAACACTGCAAGATGACCCTAAATCTTTCTAGATTTAGGGTCTGGATTTCCAGGCTAGGGTTACGCCACTTCTCATAGAATAGTTATCTATTAAAACAGACTCGATAGGAGAAACTTTGACCCATGCTTACGAACATTTTGGAGACAGGAAATTGGCGACGCAGATGATGCGATGGAAGCCTAACTGTAGAAATTATTGACCTCCTACATTAAGATAGTCTAGCGTAAAAAAAAAAGGAAAGCTAATAATGCATTCAGGTGCTCTTGATCAACATATAAAGTCAATAATTTCCATGTTTATCACCGAAAAGCTGCCTTAAAGTGGCCAACAAAGTGTAAACAAGTTTTCTAATACCTTGGTTTATAGTACAGTCATGAAGTTTAGTCTAAAAATATGCTAAATAACCAGCAAACAGCATGCTACGATAGGTTTACAGCAGTGCTGGAAGAAGTTCTGAGATCTTTCTTTAGGTAAAAGTAGCACCATGTAAAAATACTCTTACTTAGAGTATGTCTACTTCCTGGTTCCCTCAGGTCGCCCTCAGCAATGGGACGCCAGTTCCAGCCGTTCTGTTGGCCAACAAGTGCGACCAGCGGAGTCACGGTTTGTGCCCCAAGCTGCCAAAACTGGAGAACTTCTCCAGAGAGTATGGGTTCGTCGGCTGGTATGAAACCTCTGCCAAGGTATGACGTGATCGTCCTCTGTGTGTGTGTGTCTTTAAATCCTGCAAATATTGTTTTAACCTGTGATCTGCTTCTGTCATCATCTTTGTTTTTTCTCGTTATAAAGAAATGTCACTGCATATTTATATCAGCGTATCGCCTATTAGCCTTCTGTCTCACACACTCCCCCGCACTCCTTTATTTACCCCAGTGTTTCTTCCTCACACTTATTTTCATGTCAGCTCTTCTCTGCATCTGTCAGAGCCTGATTCTCTGCTTTCAAAGCTGCACCAGTAAACAGTTTAATGCAAAAGACAAAGAACAAAAATCACAAAATGTAAAAGTTCTGCCGTCTTCAGCAAGCATCCAGTTTACTCATATGGTGTCTGTGTAATGAAGTCTACAAAATTCAAACAGCTCCCTTTTGCTGCTATTTGTAGACGCCAGCATGCAGTAACATGTTTATCTGCTGCAGCTAAAATTAGAAACACTAGATTGCCTATTCTTCTGTAACCAAGAGCCCACACTGATTACACTAATCAAGAGCCTTTTGGAGTTAAAAGCGTTTGTGGACAATGAACTCGTTGTGCTACATCTGTTCTGTTTGGCTGATTCAATTTTATTTATCTACCTAATTGTTTTATTTACTGTTGAAGGTGCAAGATAGAAGCTTTTTATAGTGCACAATGAAGGACCCTGATAGCCTTAAAGTCTCGTCTCTGCTTTCATGTCGCACAAAGAACTTCCTTCACAGTGAAGAAATAAAAGTGATAAACCTGAGCATGTCTTTAAGTAATAATCCGTGTCACCTGAAGCAATGAGTCAAACTTTGTTCTTGCGAGAACATTCACAGTAACTGAGTAGAGAGAGTTTCAGTCCATGATAAAGGAAATAATGTTTAATTTAATGGAAAAGGACAAGTTTCAATTTCTGTTTTCTGTTGGTGTTGCCATCAAAAGAACATTTGATCAATTTTTAATTTAAAGATGCACCGATTTATATTTTTATGTTAACAATGGAAGAAGTAAATACTGGTAAAACGTAAAGGGGTAGTGGTTACTTGTAGTAATGAACTAACAAGAAGTTGTAACCGGACTCTGCAGCTCTGTGGAGCACTGTAGCATCTTTCAGTTCTTCGTTTTGGTTTCACAGCACACAACTTTACTGTTTCAGTTCACTCTCAAAACTCCAGTCACACCAAGCAGCAACAGGCAGCTATTTCCATCACTGATAAAGCTGATTCCAAGTTTAACAAACACAACAATGAGTTGATATTTTGGCAACTAGTTTGGCAGTAACTATTGTATATGGAAAAAATGGGTAATTTGATGGATGGACCAGTTCTAGGCATTAAAATGTCTGTTCACATGAGGTGTTTGTTATGTTTACACTGAAAGGAGAATACTATGATTTTTGGCATGTGTTTTACTATAAAGTCCTTTAAAGCTGAAATACAAATTGCAAAACTTTTCGGTAACACTTTACTTGAAGGTATCTACATAAGAGTGACATGACACTGTCATAACTATGACATGACATGGTCATGAACCCGTCATGAACATTATGTACATGTCATGAACGTTTATGACTGCTGTCATTAAGTGTCATTCGGTTTTTGTAATGACAAGCTGACATTGTGTGCGGTTACATGATGGCTTCTCATTCAGAATGAAATAAATCTGAATGAAATCATTCGGAATTAAAGTTTTTCCAGGTAGTTTACATGGGAAATGTTCATTCCGAATCAGGGTTTACACTGGAGATCAGTTTAATCGCCTTTTAATCGCCTGTATTCGGGTTCGCGCAAGGTTTGGGGCAGGGAAGGTTTCTGATTGGATAGGAGGCATGGCAGATGTTAGGTGTTTACGTTTATCGGAAGAAAACACTGTAATCCTCGCTCCGGATAACAACATGCTTGACAACGCCGTTCTTCCCTCTATCTCTACCTCCATCGTCCTTCTTTAACCCTTCACCTCGCTCCTCTCTCTACAGGACAACACCAACATAGATGCCGCCATCACATGCTTGGTGAAGAGCATCATGACTTTGGAGGATGAGAGAGCCGCGAGTGACGCCACAGCCATCACCGGCAAAAGTGAATCGGTTCTGGTTCTGCCTCGCTTCGACTACAACAAAAAGGAGAAGGGACTGAGTGGGTGCTCAGGATGCCAGTCGCTTAAACCCAAAGACAGGGACAACGACTGAAGGAGGGAGGGATGGATGGGATGCATCCTCTTCCTTCCTTCCTTTTCTCCTCACAAACATATTTCTGCAGAGTTGTTAGAGGAAACAGTTTAACAATTTGTGATTTTTCTGAAAAATCCATAATGTAATTATGTATTTTTATCACAGAAAAGAGTCAAAAATGAGTTCCAGTTTAACAAAAAGATAAGTTTTTATAGGTGATGCTACAATATTTTATGTATTTGAAGTAAAATGTGACTCCTGAAAACATTTTTGTAATATTTAAAGTTTTTTCTTTTGCAGCACAGCAACATGTTTTAGGCTTGAGACAGCTGAATTTTACAATAATTCCTTGGTTTTTAATAATATATTGTAATATTCTTCATATGTGAATAACAGAAAACGACTTGTAAAACCTTTTTATATGCATAAAAGTGCGCTTTTAATCTGTCATGCATCTTCTCTATTTCTTGTCCGAACATTTTGAACGTTTTTTCAAAAGGTGGCAGGGGTGCTTCCTTTCTGAAAGCAAGAAAAATATCATATGTTTGAAATGAAAAAGCAAAAATAAATATGCCATAGGTTTTTAAAATTATATGTTACATTAAATGATAATTACTCTATGTGTTCAGCAGCAGTCTTCATGGCAAAGCGCTATGTAAGCAGCTACTTAAGTGATTATTGATGTTTTTATCTGAGATTATTTTTTTATTTTATCCTCACCAGGGGATCAGGTGTTTGGCCGTGTGTGTGTGTGTGTGTGTGTGCCTTCGTGTGTGAGTTTGTATCCATCTGTCTGCAGCCAACCTCACAAACTACTGTACCAAACTACTGAACCAATCAGCCTAATATTTTGTCAGCATATTTATGACATGCTCAGGAGTCCTCTTGTGGCTGCAGTGATTCACAATTTTTGAAAAGCCTATTTTATTGACTGTTCTATACCACCGTCATCATATTTACAGAAATAATCTCGTCTGAAAACAGCATACCTAGTCTGTTGCCGGCCATATTTTGGCCTTCGTCACGGCTCAAAACACTGACATCCATGAAAAATTTGAAATGGAGAACCTGCAGATGAAATGTTTGTAGTTCTACCTTTTTAAAGTCCAGTTATGAGCAACATAGATCAGAGATTTGTGGCTGTGTTTTAGTTAATAATCTATCCTCATAAGCTATATTTCACACACAGTGCCTGTTAAAATGAAAACTCATTCTGTTTTGTGCAACACCACTGCGGCTCAATCTGTCAAAAATTGATGAGGTGCGTATTTTCATTACCTTTTGAAACACTCTACTGAGTGCTGTTTTCTTGCTTTGTCTCCATCCATGGTCCTCAGTGTGATGCCTTTCTTAGGTTTTTCTTTTAATGTTCATTTCTTACCCATGTTAGCAGCATGGCTCTAGAGATTGAAATGTCTGTCTGTCAAACTGTAATATCTCAACTAGGGATACACCAACATGGATTTTTTCAACTGATACAGATGATCAATAATTTCACATTTTTGTGTTTTAAAAAAGAGTGTATAACCAGTAGTCTATGTACACCTGAAGGTCAGAGAGGCTGAGACGTAGTGTGAAAATATGGCTGATTTAAAAGCTTGGCGTTGCAGCTAATTAGCTCATGCTAACACTCTGGAGACAGTCCTTCAGCCCTGCGTCTAACCTGTGTCAGGAGGCTGGAGATCAGAAGTGATGGCCAAATGAAGCCTCATGAACCACTTTCTTTATTTTCTGACCCCACCAGATGGCACTCTTGGTTTAAAGATAAAGGCAGAAGGACTTGCAACGAAGTGTGCTTTCAAACCTTTGTTGAACACACAGCACCATCTAGTGGCTTCAGAAAATAAAGACAGTGGTTCATGAGGCCTCATTTGGCCATCACTAGAGATCAGACCCTCAGTGCAATCCTGTTGTCTTCTTCTTGAACTGTGAAACACGTCCACGCCACGACATGTTTTGGCCTCTAGTCAGAGTGCTGCAGATGTTGTTTTTCTTCTCTGTGTTAATTTACGGTTGGCAAATTTATTAGTTGGCTATTTTATCGATGGATAATCCTTGTATCGTTTTCTTGCTTAAACCTCTTTCATCATTGTCTAGTATTGCTCATTCTATCACCTTTCACTCACGTCTTAGCTTTAAATATCAGGAATAACGTAGAATAAAAATGAGTCAATGTTCTTCCATTATTTCTCAGCTGGCGTGAGCCCCCCCCCCCCAGCGTCTGTATTCTCACAGCGTGTTTGCCAGCTCTTACAGCTGTATCGCTCTGTCAATAAAAGCTAGAAAACTAACCCTAATTACATGGAAGACTGTCAAAAGCAGTGTGTGTTTCTGTGTGTATGTTGTTCAGCTCAGTTGTTCTCTGCGCCTGCTGCTCTGTCTGATGGGTGAGGCACTATAATTTCGCGCCCACCCATGTGAAGATATTGTGTACTCCCTCCCAGTCACGGTGCCAAAATAGGCTGTGCATAACACTCACTTTCTCTGGCAAAGTGTTTCTTCTTTTGCTTCATTCATCCAGCAGGGTGGCCAACCCCAGGCTGCAAAGGTTCCATTTAAGTGTGCTGTAAAAGCTTTGCAGGAAGGAAATGAATCATGTTTTAGGGAGAGAGGACCACTGGTGAAATTACCTGATTTGTGATGAAACACAAATCAATCTCATGTCTCAACTAGATCTCTCAATATGGTAAAGTCTGAGCTGAAACAAAGGCCCTACTGGTGGTGCATTTTGATTCGCAGCCATTTTGCCAACAGCTTGTTGGCATGTCTGTGGTTATTTTCACCAAGTGGGAGATATTATTAGACATTCCTGATATTTGGAGTCAGAATTGCAAGTCGGAGGCTGGCAGATCGGTATTTCCCACTCTGCTGCCTATAATTATGGTCTAAAGGATGTAACATGAATATGCCATACCAACACGTTCTGAATCCGACCTCATCACATATCAATGTTTGGTCATGGACTTTCCACATCCAGATACGACGTGAAAGGTACCCTGGGTGTGTTGGTTGTTGACGCTCTGGGACGCTGTGTCAAGTTCTGCCTGTTTCATGCATTGTCTTCTTTCAAGATAAACTTCCATTTCATACAGTCTCTTTCAAAATAAACGCACTACATTGCTATAACACAACGAATTGATGTTTTTTCCTTCAACAACATACACACATGGTTGGGTTTAGGAAAAAAGAACAGGGTTTGGCTTTAGAATCTTACAGGACACAAACACCGCTCTCCAGGGTCAAAGTCGTGTTTGTTGGACCCATCCACCACCACTCCCACCCACCCCAATCGCACTTTCAGCGCCTTAACTTTCGTTCTTGCCATGCCGTATGTCCCCCTGATGCCGCTGGGCGACGTTAAAACTAAAACAGCAATCGGTCAAGTATCATGTCGATGCTAAAGGACACCTTTTGTTGTTGGTTTCTGACGCTGCAAGTCACTTTCCAAGCGCCGGATTCTGACTACTTCGAAGTGAGACCAGGCTCAAGAAAACATATTGCTTTCCAAAAGACAAGAAAAAAAATCTCACTTTTGCTCTTTGTAGAACTAAAATGGCTCCTTGTTGTAAGATGTGTGGCTGTGATGACCAACATGATGTGGTAGGGATTATTCAGGTTCCAAACTTACTCTTCTTTGAGGAAATTTCTCCACTGGATTCCTTAACTGTTGCGTGTCATCATGACGGGAGCCCTCAAACAATGGGGGTGACGGTAGTGAATGTGATATGCCATAATTGTCGCAGCCTCTGCTGTATCCACTGATATGTTCTTTCTGATCCCACCCAGTACCCAGGTGTGCCACAGGTGCATCAAAGAAGCCTGGCTACGAAATTACGAAAAGGGTGTTTGGCACGGATCTCTTGGCAGGGTGCACCTGACTGTGATCTGGTCGCTCTTGTGAGCAAAAGAGAATACTGTGTTACAGCTCTATTGACACTTCATCACCACTATCATCTGATGTGATCAGTAATACCAATAATGGGTACTCATTGATCAGCATTTTCAACTTAAATCAGATGCTACAGTTGGAAAGAAGCAATCTATGCATGCTGGCAAGGTGCTCCTGATCTCTGATAAACATTATGAGTAGCCTAATAAGAGGAAACAACCTCATTATCACAAGATAACAAAGCTTGTTTTTTGCAGATAATGAAATGAAACAACCTTTTTGTTTACTTGTTATAACAGGTTGATTATCTCGAAATTAAACAACCTTTCTTGGGAGATGTTAACGATCTGGCTATCTTGAGATAACAACGCTTGTTTTCCTGAGGTAACAACATAGTTTACTCATTATCTGGAGAAGTAATTTAATAACTTCAGATAGCTAAGCTCTTTTTTTAGAGATAACAAAATAAAACAACTTTTTTTTGTGATAGCGGGTTGATTATCTGATATCAGGAGATAACAAAGCTTGTTTTCTTGAGGTAACAAAATAACTTATCTCAGAATAACGGTATGAAAAAAATAATTACAAGCACAGCCGTTCTCGCCATCTGTTGAAAGACAAAGTTACTCTGCAGCATGTTTGATGCCAATTTTGCCAATTTTATGACTCAACATGCTGCAAGTTATTTAAAGATTACACAGTTTTCTCAGTTTTGAGTTAGGCGCGCACATGGATGATTTTTATATCCTTGTTCAGAAGAGTTAAATGGACCAGTAGACCAATCTCCAAACATTTGTGTGCTTGTTTCTTCCCCTTGTCTGGAGGTTGTTAAAAAGGCGTGTTGTATTGTTTCTCTGCTCATCATCTCAAATTCAAGGCAGGTTTTTTCATATGTAAGGTTCATTAACACATTTTTTAAATCCCAGGTGTGAGAGCAACATTCGTTAGTCGTTTTATGTCTACGCTTTTTTTCAACCCTTTGAAACCTGGAGCAACATCACATTTCTTCTGCTGCTGTATAAACCTTTTGATATACAGTTCCTTTAAGATTAAATTAGAGTACAGTACACCATCCATGATGCTGTCAAGAAGACGGTCCAAAGAAAACATTATTAATGCTAGGGAGTGTTTTGCTATAGAAAATCATCTTTCCCACCCCTATAATTTTCACACAGTCCCCAATGTGCATTCTTTTTGTTATGCAGCTTCACCTTACATTATCTATATTTATGGTTTACATGCATTGCTGCAACGTCTCTACCTCTCACTTGTCACATGACGTCTTTAGATCATGAACACATGAGGAGGCAAATCTTTTGAGAGGCACTCTGCTGCTTCTGAGAGCGGTTTGAACCACTAGAGGGAGCCACAGGTAGGAAATGTGTTTACAGTGGTTTTATAGCGTGGCTGTCCACTTTAAATTTTTCATGTTTGGAATTATTCTCCATATTGGATTTATTTCCAATATCCATCCCTGCTCCCTCTTCACTGCTCTTCTTCACTTCACTGTCTCTGGTGTTGGAGTGAAACCTGTGTGAAGCGACTGTTTTTG